TATCATCCTATATCAAACAACCCCCGTTACTGATGCACCATAGGGAGGCGTTTAACCAGCGTTTATGGTCAAACAGCCACACATTGTATATAACGTGCACACTATCCACCTTGTATGGGCAAACAGCCACACATTATTGTATATAACGTGCACACTATCCACCTTGTATGGGCAAACAGCCACACATTGTATATAACGTGCACACTATCCAGCTTGTATGGGCAAACAGCCACACATTATTGTATATAACGTGCACACTATCCACCTTGTATTGGCAAACAGCCACACATTATTGTATATAACGTGCACACTATCCACCTTGTATGGGCAAACAGCCACACATTATTGTATATAACGTGCACACTATCCACCTTGTATGGGCAAACAGCCACACATTATTGTATATAACGTGCACACTATCCACCTTGTATTGGCAAACAGCCACACATTATTGTATATAACGTGCACACTATCCACCTTGTATGGGCAAACAGCCACACATTGTATATAACGTGCACACTATCTAGCTTGTATTGGCAAAGGGCCACAACTTATTGTATCGAACGTGCACACTATCCAGCTTGTATTGGCAAACAGCCACACATTATTGGATAGAATTTGCACACTATCCATATTCTCACTCTTTTTTGCCACGTCCTTTCTCAAAGACATCGGCGATCCCGGCCTTCCAATTAGCTCTGCCCGTGATATCACTCAATAACTTTTGCGTTAGATACTCCCAGTTGCTTATCCACATTACATCATAAATGCGTTGAAAGCAACTGGCCAAAAGTGGTTATTGTTTCTGCCACTGGACCTATTATACTTGAGGCAGTGGTTGAAGTGTAATTTTAAAATATATGTGCATATCTTATAACATTCATCATGTCAAAGGACTCATACTAAACAGTAATGTGACCATTATTCAAGGTTCATTCACAGTTATTCTCTTTTTTCTTTGCTTTAAAATACACACGTCCACTTCATGTAAAGCATGGTGAGATGGTATGTGTAACACTGTACATATATACAGTAAAAAGTAAATATTCACTGCTTAGGGTTAATAATTGTTTTATGGACAACTGTTCAGTAGTTCGAGAAGGTATGCCTCATGTTGTGCTATTTGTATAAATTATCGACAGCAACTAAATTTTCAAAATAATTTAAGGGAGATGCTACAAATATAATTTTAGGATGCATCATTAACGAAGTGTTGGGAAGTGTGGCAGCATGTGCCGCGGTCTAAAGATGAGTGTTCAGAACGTAAGTGGATGGCAGTGGCAACCTGCACCTCTGTCGTCGTAGAACTAAGCAGGAGGCGAGAGTGTGAAGGGATAATTAAGGTAGCCGTGCGCGTGAACGTGGGTGGTTGTTAGGAGGAGCCCTCCAGCCACTTTGAATATTTGAGAAGGGTATGCAAGACTGAATACCGGAATTAAACAGGCTGACTGGGGACTTCGCTTCGAGCTTTTAAATATAGACGTATGTGGACGATTCTAGGAATTCCACATTTGGATAGAGTAAGCAAATTGGTAAGTTCAGAATAGATCGTGCCAAACAAGCGTCGCCAACTTAACATGGGAGAGGATGTTGAGAGTAGTTGGGGTATGCGTACAGGATGGAGGAGGGCACGTTACCCAGACGGGCATTGGAGTGGCGTCCGGAGGTCACTTGCTCAGGGAAGACTTAAAGACAAATGGTGGGACACCTTAAGAGCAGATGATGGCAAAATGTAGCTGAAGGAAGCCATGTCAAGGTGTGGTGACATCACGTGCACAGGCTGTGGTAAGGCCTTGGTGATCTCTGCATAATGTCTACTAATTCTGCAAAGGACAGTGTAATTGAACCAATAGGGATGTTCACCTTTTAATACACATGCTGAACACTTGGGGAAGAGTGAGACTTAAGTACAAAAATCGGATGAATGAATACACATTACGTATGTATGGGAACCTCTTTGCCTGTATCAACATTATGATGATGTTATGATGATGATGCAAGGCGTCAAGTCTATTTGGTGTTTGGACATCTCATGTATTATTGCCGTGAAAGGGTAAAGCATATTCCTTTTTATACACGATGCAGAGTATAATGTTCCTTGTCCGTAACAGCGTCTGTGCTACCTCCTTAGTGGGTGTCCAATTTAGGTACTGTAAGTTATTTCAAACTTGACTGTAGCTGGAGTTCGTTAAAAATGGGGATATGAGTAGGCCGAGAGATATCTCTTTGTAATTTGAAACCAACAGAATACACCAAATGGCAGCACACTTTTTTTTTGCCAGTGTATAAATATCACTCCGTTATCTGAATCTCTTTGATACAGGGTATTGGTGTTGCACAGGGCCAGCACGAAGGACGTGGATGGGTGTTTTTTTTTGTTTTACCAAGAAAGCAAACAATCTCTGGATTGCCCTCCATGTATGGAGGCGTGCTGCCAGTCAGCGGTGTAATGGCAGGAGAGATGTATCACCTTCATACAATAGCCTGATTGTTTTCCATTGCAGTGTTGAGCACAGTGGCACTTAAAAAAAAATCCTATTATCTACGAGCATGAAAACGGGCAAGAACCTTGGCTACATAGGTTGTGGCCACAGTGAGTGAAGTTTGACGAATGTATTCGTGTGACTTTTCCCACGTGCAAACTGCTGCGTGCTTGTCGATTGTATTCTTCCCATTAAATAATTGTGTTGTATATTTTGTCATTTAACCAAATGTGAGCAGCGACGTGGTGTTTGAGAGAAGAAAACTGTATATTGTACTTTAATAATTTAACGTGAATAACATTTGATAAGATGCTTCGATATAATATAAGCCAGCAACAATTATACAAAGGAATTGTACGTGGCTTTCTATTTGAATAAAGTATGAACAACAATTGCAATAAAATTACCACTTAATTGCAATTAAATATCATTTATTGGACCTAAAATTACAATCGTCAATGGTAAGATAATGAATAGCGATTCGGCCTTTTGCTGCGTGCCTATGCGTGCATGCATGTCCCATGTCATTGCTGCACTCCAGAAGAAATGCCAGCACCATCTTCTTTAACAAGACCACTATATAAATGCCCAAATATTTCTTCGTGTTGTTATTTGATCAAACGATTGTTGATCCCATAATGATGGAACTGTTTGTAAAAAAAAAAAACACGTGAATTGTATACGTGAAATACCCCACATTCGGATGCTGGACATTTTTTTTTATTGCAAGTCTTGTTTGTGATGTAGAAAACGTGTAACGCCGAGGGTCTTTGTAACACAAGTTTTCAGATTCTCTTTCAGCGTTTCTACAATACAAATTAGTAATTCTATACAGTACTGCTGAATATGGTTAACCCCCAAGTCAACCCTTGCCAAAATAGTGTAAGGGTCAACACGATGGTCATCGTTGGGGTCACAAATCTGGGATCTGTTTCCAAAAAAACCAACCCCTCTCTTTAAGTTGTTTTTCGCAGCTGTTCCTCGTGTCAGGGGTATTCGTGCCCAGCATATATTGTGACGGTCACAGTCAATACTGCATTTGCCGTTCTGAGCCTTTGGAGAGTTGAGACATCAGAGGACAAGTGTAAGATACTTTATGAATGGACTTTTGCTTTTTTTAATTTAAACGAAGCCAAGATACATTTTAAAGTTCCTCGGCATGTTTCAATACTTTTAAAGTTTGCAATTTGTTGCAGCACGATGGATGAGTCAACATATAGACTGGAGGAGTCAATATGTAGAGTGCAACTATAGAATTATCATTGAATGATGTGATTGTATTAAATCGTTATGTTACATATTTTCTAAATTCACCACATTTGAGCAGCAACATCGTATTGAAGATGATAAAACGGCATATTGTATTCTTGGTTCTTTCGGTAAAGTCATGTAGAAGGGAAACAATAAAATAATAAAAACATATATAACAATACAAATGTTCACGACGTTTCGACTGCAACACAAGCAATCATCATCAGGTGTGAAAACCACAGCAAGAAAATTTGTACTTTAATAATTAAATGTACATTACATATTTGGTAAGGTGCTTAGATATATTTAAAGGCTGCAGCAAATATACAAGGAAGTTATACATGATTTTTATATTTTCTAAGAAAGTCTGAACAATAATTGCAATTTGCTGTGACACACGCAGGGCCAGATTAAGGCACGGGGCTTTAGGGGCTACAGCGAAGGGGCCTCTGCCAGCCGGAGGGCCTCCAGAGATTAAGTGAAAAGTTTTTTCATTTGTGAATGCTGAATTGTATTTGTTGATATCATTGTAAAAAAATAATTGTATTTTTCTTTAACTTTGTTTTCCTTTTGAACATATTACTGGGGGGGCCTCACAGTACCTGTAGCCCAGGGGCCTACAAAATCTTAATCCAGCCCTGAACACGCGTATTTAAAAAAAAAGTAGAAAATAAATGGTAGTAGCGGACATTGAACTAGTTATATTTTTGGGAAATCCACCTGATATTATAAATTAATGACATTGTACTTGCATCCATAATTATGAATTTTTAAGTATTTTAATAATTGATAATAATTGGTGCACCTTCAACTAAACGTTTTACCATTTACTGTTAAAATCGCAATCGAAGGACAGCATTGTGGGTCTTTATCAGCCGTACATTTATATTTTCCACGGTGATCTATGCCAGCACATTGGATTGAATTCGGGGCGTGGAGCGGTTAGCGCAGTGTGTAGTGCACTGCGCTATGAACCCGGTGACCTGCGTTCAGTTAATTTAACCTGGAACGGCGAGCGATAGCTTGACCGGTCCTGGGCCCCCACCATCCTTCACCAATTCGCACTGACCATCACACATGTGTGTGTGTGTGTACGTTGAACTTCTTTCACACCGTACGTAGCTAATCGGGAGGTGAAGTATGGCCAAACAATCCCCATTGCCGTCATGAAATGGGGGAGGGTCTTCACCCAGCAGTAGAATGCAAGGGCTGGAAAAAAAATGTATTTGCATGCGTGTGAACTTGCACTTTGTCTTCTCCGCACAGGGCTCTAATATCCCGTGAAGATGTCTGACACCGAAGATGTCGCGGTTGAGGAGGAGGAGGTGCACGAGGAGGAGGCCGAGCCCGAGACCGAGACCGAGCCCGAGCCCGAAGTTAAGGCTGAGATAGTGGCGGAGGAACCTGAGTGAGCAACCACACCCAATGCTATTACTTCACATCACGTTATTGACGCTCTTATTTTTTTTTTTTGAAACAGTGGCTTTCAAATATCAACGATACAACAATGCTGTGTAGTGTACATGGCTTAAAACAAAATAAGCAAAAGCGAGTAAAAAAATAAACCAACGACTTTTAACGAATAATTATATCTCTGTTTTCAAAACACATACTGCCCATGTCAGTATCTGTAATCACGTTGAGAAATAAGCTATCTATGCTGTAGTTCACATCTATTTTTATTTAGTTAATACTGTTTAATAGAGCAATAACACTTTTTTCAGTTTTATAATAGTTTTCTTCAAAAAAAGGTTGTTAAAATAAGCAATATAAATTTCCAAGTCATATGTATAAATAAACCTTTATAACCAGGTAAGAAATCTTTATAACCAGGTAATAGTCAGGAGTGTACATGACTTCGCACCAGTGGCGTGTTAAATAATACACTGGAGTGACACTACCAGACTCCAACATACAAATCACTACTCTCTCTCTAAGTCAGTCAACGGGCAAATAGCCAAACTTTGTCAACCCTCTGGGACAGTGCAGAAGAGTAGGCCAAATATCCTCTAAATGGGCTCTCCAGAGATTCCCAGTGGAGTCTCCTTCCACCAAGAGTGGCGCAAGAGAGCACTTGCAGGGCCACGCCGTTATCTGAACAGCATCAGTAGTGATACTTTTACAAACAAAACCATCTTATTTCTGATCATTTAAAATGTTTTAAGGAATGTAATCTCGCATTTGGAATTTTCAAGGTACCGTAATGTCATCTTCTCGACACAAACAAATTGGGTGACAGTGTGAGCGGCACGCATCACGCACATTGATTGTGTGGGTGTCTGATGCAAACATGCTGCACTTCGCAAGCCAGAGGATGGACTGGCTACACAGGCGTTTGGAATGGCTCCCATAGAGTGTGGAAAATGGGGTCTACGCGGTGTAAAACGGGCCAGAACGTTGCCGAATTCCCCTTGGCAAGTTGCGGAGGGGCTTCAGAGCCAGTTGCATTCCTGTCGTGTGTGTACACAGATGCACGTGTCTGTATTTTCATGCTTCGTATAAGTACTGTATATATTTTCCCCTCATGTCTACATATGTGTATGCATATGGTATATATACACACACACACAACATGCACACGTATATAATGTATGCACGTGCGAGTTGCATGTAGTATGAGAATCAGAATCTTTATTTGAATTGGAGGAATCCAATGAGCTCTGAAGTTATTTTTCACAGATGTCCAATATAACATTATACACATGCAACCAGCGTGCACACCACACTCATGGGTGTGTGTGCGTGGTCAGCTGAACTTTAGGAAAGGGGCAGGTGGACCGGTGAAGGGGAAAATTCCTCATGGAAGTTTTAAATGCTTTGTTACAGCGCAGCGGGGAGCCATTGAACCCAGCGATCTGAGTTGGATTTCCGGCCATGGATAACACCAGTGCTGAGTGATATCTCAACCGCTCTTAGGCGCCCCTTCACTGACCTGTACTGACTGGCCAAAATGGTCAAACAACCCCCCGTGGCTAACATTGGCGGGTCCATCAACCCCTTGGTGTGGAGAGGCCATCATGCATCAGTGGACTGACAAAACGTTGTAAACGTGTTAATTATTATTACTCTTGGCATAGTCAGCGTGACAGATGCCACAGTGAATAGCGTGAAATCCTCGTTAGACCTTCCGTGTGCCTGTAATCACTGTTCCCACATCCACCTGCACGCTGCCAGGTTTCTGCATTCAGAGAATGCAATGGCAGGCACGGCAGAGTGTGCCCCATGCGTGGCAGAAGGGAGTTCGGGTGATTAGCCGTGAATTTTCCTGCTGTCATGTTATCTGCGGCTGCAGGTGCCATTCTGCTCAAACGTGGCGGAATAACTTCCGCTTCCAAGACGTTTTTTTATTGATTGATTATAGACAAATTTTGCGAGTTTTATGAAGGCTTTTTTAATATATTTACCCACTCAGGAGCATATGCACACACTGGTACAAATGTATACTTCGTTATACATAATGCACTGCATTTGCCATAGGCCCATGATTTATAAAGTGATTTTTTTTATAAGTATGGTAAATTTCACGTAAGCCTTGAAATGCAATTCAATGACTGGCACGCCTGGCACATTCCACGAAATAGTGACAGTTTTATTTTCGACAATGTTCTAACGCACAAATTGTGTTTCTCTCCACCGCAGACATTTGGAAGGTAAGAACGTTTCACGTCGCTCGTGTTGAATGCATGCGGCTGCATGCGTTACCATGTAGGACCTCCGAGCGCTGTAACAAGTGCGTGCTGAGCAGCGCTGGCATGTGCTGAACGCGCTCTTCTATAAGTGTCACCGCGCTATGACGCCACTTGCGAAACATCCACTTTGGGCCATGAGCGCGGACGTGCTGCAGCTGCCTGCGATCGTCGTGAGAGCGTTTATAATTTAAGCCTTGTTCTGGGCCCTAACAGCATGGGGAATAGATATAGAGGTGGCGGTCCAACGCGCTTTTTTTTTTGCACTTGGGAAAACTGAAATTTCTTGTCCTAAAAAGCATGGCAATGTTGCACTGTTGTGCACAGCAGTCCCTCTAATTTAATTATCGCTTTCCTACGCAGCCTACTGAAACCATTGTGTTACAAAAGCGAATTATTTGATGGCGGTGACGCTGCTGTGTTGGTGTGCAAGCCCAGTTACTAAACACACACTCAACACGTTCGTCAACAGCGCCGCCTTACAAGGAAAATAGATTACGTTGTGGGCAATGGCATCTCAGCACATAGAGGGGCCAGGGATATCGTCCGTATGTTGAACTTCTTTCCCACCGTACGTAGCCAAACGTGCTAATCGGAGGTGCGGCGGAAGGTAAAACTAACGAGTGCCTTATTCAACTCTTATCCTCTCTCTCTCTCTCTGCGGCCTTTCTATTAATGTGCCTTGAAAAAAGGGCCATTGCCCAAAACGTCATCCAATAAGCACTTTCCTCTTGAAGGACGCAGCATTATTGAAGGGTTGCGTTGGGTGTTTATAACGCGCGCCTTGCCGAGCGTCGGCATTTGCCATGGAATTGGGTGCAGGGAAAAGTGGTGTGGGGGGATTGTACAATGAGCATCGCCAGAGTGGGCCACCTCAAGTTCTGGTGACAGTGCCAGGCATCGGCGTGCCGTGCTCGTGACGGCAAAACCGAGGGACAGGCGTCAAGTTAAAAAAAAAAGAACGGGGATGATTCCTTCCAGTGTGTGTTTAATGCGCTGCTCGTGAAACGCATCTGATACCAACGTCGGTAACGGATGGCATTGCATGGTGCCGGTGGCCGTTATCTCATGCGGTTCTATTTGTGAGTGCTTTAAAGACAAAAAGAGGCACTCTTAAAAAGGCAAAAAAAACCCCTAGAAATTGCTTGAATGATTTTCACACCCTGAGAAATAGACTTGGGCTCCGCAAAGGATTTCACTGCGGTGCATCCATCTGCAACACTTTCACCCCCTACTTATATCCATGCGTGCAGAACGCCTGTAACACACTGTTGGGCCAAGTGCTGTTAGCGAGCACATATCAAGGCCGGCACGGCACACGAGGGGGTGGGTGGCCAGCACCACTCCCGACCCGCCTTTGTCTCCCTGATGGCGACGTTTACACACCACACCGGGTACTCAATTGCGGCTGAGTCGACCTAGGGGAGGCCCGGGACCGGTTCAAATAATCGTCGCCGCCGTTTGCCGTGAGCCGAACTCTGGTGACCGAGGTTCATAGCGCAGCGCGTTAACCGCTACACTACCGCTCCCCACACACACAACACACACAAACACACGCAACTTGCTGGGATGAGATGAGATTTTGTGAGCCACCCACACGCGCCACACCGCACAAGGGCAGTGGCACGGCAAGGGGGAGGCGGGGGGGGAGCAAAAGCTTAAGAGAGGAAATAGGGGGCACACAAAATCTTCCCCAAGTCGTCTGGATACGTCGGAATGTTCTACCTTCGTCTGATTCCGCGTCTCTGGTGCCCCCCACCCCCCCCCCCCCCCAACTTGCATTAGCACGGTTGGCATCGTACGGCGAGAAAGAAGTTCAACATACACACGTATCTCTTCTGCATACAGTGCAACTCTCGCCTGTCTCCTTCATATGAGAATGTATCTATCTCTCTTCGAACTTATCCGAATGCATCTCTCCTGTTTCTTCGTTAAGAATATATCTCAGTCATCCTTTTATTTTTCCTCTCCAATCAACATCCACAATGTGTCTGCTGAATACGGCCGTGTCGCGACCTTCTGCCACTCAATCACCAATCGTATATCTCGCTCACATATCTACACCCTCTATCTCCCTTCTGTCCACGCTCCTCGCATCTCTATCGCTTGTATATTTGATGCGCACGTCACAGATCTCGCTACATCTCCGCCTCTCGTCTGCATGCCTCCTCATCTCGCTATGAATTTATAAATTGAAAGGAGAGGAGGAGGGCGTGGGGTGAGGGCACACCAAAAAAATCCCACCGCTCTAAATAAAGATTGTGATTCTCATGCATATGCTTAGCGCCCCATCGTGGCCGGGCACCGCCACTGCATACAGGGACTGTGCTCCCCAGCCGCTCTCAAGCCTCAATGTTCCCCTCCTCAATAATTTTGCGATGATTACACATTTTATTATTTTAAAGACTTTAATTTATCTTCCCCCCCCCCCCCGCCCTCTTATTGTTTCTGGCCTGGTCCCCCATACTGGCTCCTGGCCCTTGGCTTCGCTCCCTTCCACACCTGCCCGTCTTTCCACTACCTATTGGTGTTTTGTGTCTGCTGTCTCTGGTGCTGGGTTTCATTGGCCCTGGGGTCAATTGAGGGTGCATCAGCATTTAAATACTGTATGGGCCTCGTTGGCAAATTTTCCCCATGAGGGTGCTCGACAAAAGCCTTATCTCAGATTCTATACTTCCTCCAGATAAATGTTGCTCAACTTTATCAACAAAAAGTCCACCCTCGGGAACCCCCCCCCCTCTAATTTAAGCGTACACCTCCTGTACCCTAGCATGACACTGGTGGAGAGTGAAACCCCAGATTTCTCACTCACCGTGAGCTATCTCATTCATCATTCCCTTACCCCATTCGCCGCTGAGTCCTCATCTGTGCCCTCATCACAATCCCCACCCGACTGCTGCAAACTCTCCCAAAATCCCTCTTCTCCAAACTGCGAACGATCCCAAAGGTCACTACGCCTGTAAATGAGACCACCTCACCCCAATGCTCCGATCCTTGTGACGGCTTCGAATCCAATCCTGGATACATAGCAAGATCACACTGAGCGTCTTCGAGATGCTATTCTGTACTCATATCACTTCTCGCTTTCCTCTCCGGCATGCACACTCGATGCTCCAGCAACCAAGGCTTTCTGTTGAAGCCCCCAATGAACTTTCGCTCATGCTCCTCCACTGCCCCTCTTCTAGTGCAATCTCAAGCCCCACGTTTTTGTCCCCCCCTGCATTCGGCTGACTTCTTCTTATCGTACGGATAAATACGCCTGCTCTTTGTGTGCTGCGGCATCTTGAGATGCATTAGCATTTAGAAGATATTTAAATTCATAGTGTTCAGTAATTGCAAAGTTAATTTCATTCTGGAATGGAACTGAAATTACGGTGACGACCATGAATCACGGCGACATTTCTCACATGGGTAGCGTTGCTGCAGTCACAATGTGAGGCGTGTTTGTGGTGGCAGAGAGGTTGACTTTTGGTGACAGATTCAGTGGGTTAGTCGGTATTACGCACAAAACCATTGATCTAAGGAATACGTGTGGGGGAACAGTTCATTCAATAATGCGTGACAAGTGAAAATTTCTATAGGGTGTAAAAATGTTAAAAGAAAAGCATGAGACTAAAGGATTTACTTTTGTCAGCCGTATACATGAACGCTATATTTCACGGACCATGTGAGTGTCCCGGGGAGTTGCTTTTACTGTTAGAGAGGTTGGATACGTATGGTGCGAAAGAAGTTCAACACAGACACATACATACGTACGTTTCCCTGCCAACATAGAACATGCTTTTGCCACCATTGTCATGTTAGTAATCTCTTCAATGGCATCTGGAGCGTCAACATACAATTATAATGTTTCGTCAGCTTTTCAAATGCTGTACACAACAAATACCATTATACCAGTAAAAGCCTATAACTTACGGCGTATACGTTCATAAGTTTAATTTAAGGCAATGGTCTCTTTCCATAGAGAGAGCAGGGAGAGATAATGTTGAGGTCTGTGGATTGATACTTGGCATATAATTCCTGTTTTATATAGAGAATCCAATATTTTGGAAATACTAATTTTAACAAATGCATTATAGTTTCCGTGAGAACTACATTTGGCCATTTCAGAAGGTAAACAATCTGACAGGATAAAAAAAGGATTTTCGATTTTTTTTTAATGTTCACAGCCGGACAGTCTCCCTGTAAGCCTGCCAGATCTGAAATGTGTACGTTGCACTCATGGATCTGATACAACCCTTTCCCTGCTTGTATTTGATGTCACTGCAATCTCCGATAAACTTGTGAGGCTCTCCTTGGGGTGCTCTGTTGAGGGAAGAAACGACACTTCCTCCCCTATTGTGTCTTCCCTACACGATGCGTGTGAACCGGACAGATTGGATAGGGCCGCCGTTCAGCCGTTACTCTGGAAGACAGAGCGCGTTTCACCCCTTTGTAACGTGGAATAGCTGACGGCAGAGATCACCAAACGACATTTGCCCTCGCGGGATGTTTTATCATTGCACTCGACTGTGGACCCAAAACCACACGTGCATTGTCTGGCTCCTGCCACGCGAACTCACGTGCCTACCCCCACATTGTCCTCCCCAATTTCACGACTGCGGCACACACAAAGCTACAATATGCGGCAGGTACACCTGTCGCCTTTCAGACGTAGAGATAGGGTATTTATGGTCTTCGATTGGCTTATAATTGGCAGGAAAGAGCAGAGGCACTTTGCTACAGGTACATATGACCCTCGGGTCATATCAAATGGTTTGAAGGGAACCCTTCTTATTCGATATCTCTTATCTGCGACTCTGTCCTCGCTTAACAGACAAGGAGGACATTTACGCAATCTAATCCCAAAAACCTCTATTATGGATGATATTGTGTCACGAAAACCTACGTGTTAAAAGGAGGAGTTATACCAGAGTTGAGAGAGAGAAGGATGCATTTGTTCGGACAAAAAAAAACGACCAACCAAATGGTCACGCAGAGGGCAACACAGAATTATTTGCGAGCGTTTTGTGCCACTTTCACATGACGTCTTGAACTTTAAGTGAACTGAAGGTATATTAAATGGGTATTTCCCAACCATCTTTAAAACACGTTTTATATTTATATATAACTTGTGAGATTCTAACCACACCATTCTCTTTTTTTATTTCAAAATAGAAAAGCCAAAACACAAGATACATGTCCCGCAACCAGCTGCACCAGAAGGACCTCCTGAGCTTGTCTTTGATGTAAGTTGCTCTCCATGAATATTCTTTATTACTCTCTTTTTTAAAATGTACACAATGTATATTCGAATTTAGCACATGCATGTGTGTATAGTGTTGATGTAGTGATAGGCCGTGCTGGTAAGACATCTGGGCACGTTGCAGAATTGATTTTTTTTATATCACAAAATCCAGACATCTGAAGGAAATCTCAATCGAACAAAACCTGACACTTACTGCCCTCCACAGTTAAACAGAGTCACTTGCAGAGAAAATGGTTTCTAGTGACAATTAAATAATGTGTCCTATGAAGAGTGCGAATCACCCGCTACGATATATGGATCAGAAACTCGAACGTGAACGATAAAATGGAACAAGAATTGAAAAGGGTGAAAAAAATCACGGACAGATGAATTCTGGGAAATAACGTTGAGAGGGAGAGGAAGATGGGGATAATAAATAACAAGTTAAAGATGTTATTTGACTGTTCAAAGAAGGTAAGTCCTTCCCCCGCCTCCAATTAGCACAGTTGGCTACGTATGGTGCGAAAGAAGTTCAACATACTGTACACACACGAGAGGAGATGTTGGCCGGTAGTCCGGCCTACTGACGCAGTGGCGGCAAAGGAAGGGGATGCAAGAACAAGATGACGTCTACAGCATCTCATCTTGAAAATCATCTATTTCAAATGTATTCATGGAACCTATCTGAGCAATGAAAGGAGGGAGAACTTCTCTAACTCATCCTCGGACTGCCCCAGATGTCTACAAGGCACCACACAGAGATATCTGCACGCCTAATGGCTATTTCCAGATGTCGCTGAGTTCTACAGAGACATCACCAACCGCTGTGGTTAGCACGTTTGGCTATGTACGGTGCGAAATAAGTTCACCATATATATGTAAAGACAGTACGGGGCCTGGTAGCCGTGGTTAATAATTGACGCGACGGGAGCAGACAGGGTCACGTAAGGATAGTACGGGACCCAAGTGGTCGTAAATTATAATTGAGACAGGGAGAGAAAGGGCCAGATGAGGTGAGAGAGAGTTCGGGAAAAGGGGCGTGGCCAGGTTTGAGAGGGGGATAAAAGCCAGCGTGGAGCAGGGCTCTGGGCTGCTGTGGGGCAATCAAGAAACCGTCGTCACCATCGTCTTGGAGCGGGTCGTCTCCATCATCATGGATGGGGGCACCTTGTTGTCTTGGAAGGCTAGAGTTACATATTGTCTCCGTGACTGCTACGCGTCCGCTTCTATGTAGCCAGCCAACTGCATGGGGAGCGTCGCCGAGGGATACAGAAGTTACCCAGCTCTATATAGTCAACTCGTGGTTATCCGTTCAAATATCAGTGAGTCGGTGGACTTTATTCATAAATATATATAAAACTGAACAAGACGGTGTCCCTGAGAGCTACATTACACATACATACTGGATACACTCCTTCCAGGAATATTTAACGAGCATCAACAATTCCTACTTGGTAGGATTTCACTCGCTGGAAGTGTGTGAGGGATTGGGTTACAGCAGTGCTATTGAGCTGTGGCTGAACTGGTCCCATAAATTAGATATTTATGCAACACATAAAATATATGGACTCATCCCTGTGGGGTGTAAAACCGAGGGGGGCAGGGGGGGGGATGGTCTCCAAGCACCAGCATGTCTTAACTCCAAGCCTTTTACACCATGGCAAGGAAAACAATCGAGAGAAACCGGAAAGACCATGAACCACCCCCAATCTGGAGACCTGTGCAGCGATGGAGCACCTTAGCTACAAGCTAAAGGGGAAAAGAGGGAAAATATGAGGCGATTTGGACACCGTTCCTTGAGATCCCCGCATAACATAAAATGTTATTAAAAACGATTTAAACTATTTTATCATTTTACCAGGTAAGGCCCACTGAGGTAATATAGAGCTATTTTTTAGAAGAGACCTGGCCACCGATGACAAGCTCAAGGAAGTGGCTAATGACGTGGAAATGTATAGCAGCCAAATTCTCTAAACACATGTTTATAAATGTGGAGGTAAAAACTGGTGTACCCTGGAAAAAAATCACCACGACCGGCGGGAGAACATTCAAACTCCAAAATAAACAGCAGCAGGCGGTCAGGGTATACTGGGCGAGGTAGTTAACATCTCGCTACCGTAGAGCCCCAATACCTGAACGGGAGGAAAGAAAATGATCGGTGAGCGTGGGCTGGAGAGGAGGACCGGGCTGTAGACACGTCATGCTTACGTTATTATTATTTTCCTTGTTCTTTATTTGGTTCTTTCATTAGTTTATTTGGTTATGCATTCCCCCCTCCCCGCCTCATTCACCTGGATATAAACAAAATAAAATCGAAACTTGAACTCGTAATTGCTAGACGAGCACAATATAAAGTGTCAAGTAAAGTAATATTTTGTGGTTTGTTTGTTTTTTGGCTTTTTTCGTTTGCAGGACATGCATCGCAAGCGCATGGAGAAGGACCTGTCGGAGCTGCAGACTCTGATCGATGCTCATTTTGAAACAAGAAAGAAGGAGGAGGAGGAACTTCTGCTACTGAAAGAGAGAATTGTACGTCGTCATACATGCCTTACAGTGTTTACACTCTAGCGTTGCTCTCTGAGATGTATGCGATAGTGTTCCCCCCATCGTGCACGTGTGGGCGTTCTCCCGGTGCTTTGTCAACATCTTGCTCCAGTGGAGAGATGTTAACTACCTCGCCTGGTGTACAGGAGGTTGTGGAGTTCGATTCCAACCCGATACGCCGGTATATTTGGATCTTGATTTGAAGCTTTCGTGACTACAGGAATTAATACTCTTTGGTCCTTTCGGTAAAGTCACGTAGATAGGTATATTTGGAGCTTGTCCTCGCCATGGTCGTGCGGATTTTTCCTTTCACATTTAGAAGCATGCGTTCTCAGATGGTGTTTGGCTGCTATTAATTTCCACACGATAAGCCACTTTGATGAGCTATCATGTGTGGCCAGATCGCTTCTGAAAAAGAGCTATTTAGTTCAGTGGCCTTACCTGGTAAAATAAAAATTGCCTAGTTGTTTTAGTTTTACCACTTCAAAGACTCTAATTGGCCTGTAACATTGTGTAGATGCCCTCCCGCTTGTCTGTAATTCCCCGTCGTGTCTCCAAGTCATTCCCTCTTTCTGCAAGAGCGAGCGAATACTGCGCGGCACGTAAAAAATTTGCATTATATAAACATTAATTTTGTAGAAAAACTGGTTTCGCCAAACTTGGAGACACAAACCTGAGGAAAACCTATTGTGTTTGTCTGTATAAATATAATATAAAAAAACACCAATAACTGCAACTCGGTTCAGTATGTAACATACACGAAATCACAATGCTACAGGTTTAGAAATGTTATATCAAGATGTAAGTAAGATATTGCTCAAATCCTGCTCACACAATACTAATCACTTCCGTCATGCGTCATCAGGAGAAGAGACGTCAGGAGCGTGATGAAAATATCCGCCAGCGTGCTGAGAAGGAGAAGGAGCGTCAGCTGAGGATCGCTGTGAGTTGTCGCCCAGCCAGCATCATCACCGGCCCCTCGAGATTACACAAAGTCACCGTTGAAAGTGGACGTTTAGAACGCAAAACTAAAACAAACCTGCGTCCGATGATAGCAATTGAGAGCTGCAGATGGAATGCATGAAAACACAAAGCCAGATCCTATTGTCACTCACCATATCTGGCTTTTAAGATTATTTTTTTTAAAGATTTGTTCAATGTTAGTTTAGCATTGACAGTGACGCGCTGCCCCCGAGTTTCTGAATGCTCTCCCCATCCATGACACAAGGGCCCCAAAGGGACCTGCTGCGGTGTGCAGAAAATGCCAGGAGATGTGCAGGAGCCGCACACCTGACCCTTGCCGTGTGCTCTTGATGCAGGAAGAGAAGGCCAGGCGGGAGGAGGAAGATCAACGCAAACGTGCAGAGGAGGACTCCAAGAAGAGGAGGCTGCTCACTGACGCATCTGCCACCTATGGCAGCACGCTTTCCAAGGTAAGCAACATGTGTGACGCATTACCGGTCAATATCAATCGACAGTGATCTATATTTATTGGGTCTTTCGTTAAAGTAACGTATATAGGTTCAAAGAAAATAACAAAAAATAACAAAAAAACTACGACGTTTCGATCGCAACACAAGCATTCGTCTTTTTTCTTCCTGATGACGAACGCTCGTGTTGCGATCGAAACGTCATAGGTTTTTTTGTTATTTTTGTTATTTTATTTGAACCTGTCTACGTGACTTTACCGAAAGACCCAAAGAATATTAATTCCTGCAGTCACGAAAGCTTTAAGTACAGTGATCTAGTCTAATTTATAGAGACGCCTTCACTCGAGGCGTTTGACATACACAACTTACAAAACGGTGACAGAATAGAATGACGTAGATGCTTGGCGCGTACAATGATTAAGGAATGATACTTAGGGATCACGGAAGGGTACGGGAGGGACGGGAAGGGGTGGAGGGGCGGGAAGAGAACGGGCAAGAGAGAAAAGGTGATGCTTTGAGAGAGGAACGGAAGGAGCTTGAGGAGGGGGACTGCTTCATGTGCAGGGGAAGACTATTCCAGTGTAGGGGTGCAAGGAGAGAGAAGAACCAAAAAAACTGGATTGGGCACAGGGGGAGGAGGGAAAACGAAAGACAGATAAGATTGGGAAGGAAGAGGATAAGAGGGGACATGGAAGGAGATGAGAGAGGAAAGATAATGACACTATCAGCATCAGCGTGATCATCCCAGTGGGTCATTTGTGTTTACTTTGCATGGAATATATAAGGCTAGGCTGTGACTTGTGAATGAATACCCACTTTTAGAAGCTAGATTATAATCCAGCTGGATTACAATCCAGCATCTAAAAATTATTGGTCGTCGTTTTGATTTCCGGTATCTCGTGCAGCAGGGGGCAGTGTCACATCGCGTGTCGTGTTCACTGCATCAGCAACACAAAACAAAATGAGCAAATAAACAAATACCTTGTTTTTAGAACTTGGTATGCAGGAGGCCGTGGGTTCGATCCCAACCCTGACGCCTGCTGTTTATTTGGAGTTTGCACGTGGCCCGTGGTCACGTGGATTTTTCTCCGGGTCCTCCGGTTTTTCCCTCCACATTTAAAAATGTGCATTTCAAGTATTTGGCTGCTGCACATCCACATGATAAGCCACTTCGTTGAGCTATCATATGTGGCCAGGTCGCTTCTAAAAAAATGCTATTTAGCTCCGTGGGCTTTACCTGGTAAAATACACAAAATAGTTTCTAGAATTTGCTATATACACGTGTTATTTAAAAACATTCACAAGAAAACAGATGATAACCTTTGTAAATAGAATTGCCCAATGTATACAATTTGTCAGGACAATAACATGTAAATACCCTAATCGCTAGTGGATATATATGGCAGTAATTAAAGAATACTTAGCTAGGATTATGTTCGCCTGATTTTCAAGTACAGGTACCATTTTTATGATCCAGCCATACCTCTCTGTGCCTCTGTTGTGCTGTGAAGAAGGGTTATAGTGCAGAAGGTCACCTATTATATATAGTTTTAAGGCCACAGTATAATTGATGGAAGTGTTTGGTCTTTTAAAAATCGATCGTAATAAAAATGTTAGGCATATGTTATGACCTTGTGAATTAATTCCAGGTAGCATTTTAATTGGGCGTATATTACATCCTCCAAACTCGATTGACACACACGGACAATAGTAAACTGCACAAGAATAAAAAACAACACAATTTATTCTTGTGTAAAAAAAATCATGAGGCACAATGTGAAAACAATTAAAATATTTTCCGATGTAAAAGGGAAGTGATAGTTTTTCATTTGTAGTGTGTAACCCATGTGTAGTGTGTAACCCATGTGTAGTGTGTAACCCATGTGTAGTGTGTAACCCATGTGTAGTGTGTAACCCATGTGTAGTGTGTAACCCATGTGTAGTGTGTAACCCATGTGTAGTGTGTAACCCATGTGTAGTGTGTAACCCATGTGCTCCTAACAATGCATTGGGTTTATTTTTTTCATTTAAAGCGACATTTCTTTAAATTAGACCTAAATGTAGTTCTCACCTTCTTTGGTTCTTTCGGTAAAGTCACGTAGAATGAGAATAAAAGAATAAAATAAAACAATAAAATTCTCACGACGTTTTATTTTATTCTATTCTCATTCTACGTGACTTTACCGAAAGAACCAAAGAAGATGAATCCTTGCAGTCACGAAAGCTTTAAATCGAAATATAGTTCTCACATTGAACACATATGACTAAGACATGTAACTTTGTTAAAGTAAACACTCTATAATTGGCTGATAACACCGTGATATATATAGAGGACCACAAAGTCTGGCTATGCACGTGGCCTGTAAATCCAGCACTTTGGAGGCGGCAAGCATTGGTGGATCACAAATATGTCGTGAAACTCCCGTTGGCAGTGAGGAGGAGCCATAACCCTCTTCCATCTGTATGGGATAGAGCGTTTCCCCCTCGCACACGTGGGCTTTCTCTACTCATTAATTGGCCGATAACACCTATAAATATATATAGGAAACCACAGAGCTTGAGAAATTGTAGGCACCGGCTAATCACGTGGCTGCTTTCCCGCTTGTGGTTCCAGAGTAATAATCTCTCTGTCGCAAATAATAATAATCTCTATTTTATAAAATGCCTTTCATATTGAAGTATCTCATAACGCTGCACAGTACGTAAAAATAAAACTACACTCACAAATATCTATACAACTCTAAGCGAAATAGAAAGCTGACAATAACAACATCAGTGACGACTCTCGAAATTCCAATAAAATGAAGAACCATGATGAAAGCGAATACTAATAATTACAGAGTAATCAAATTAGACAACCGAATAGTTGTTTTTTTTATCTTAAGTTACAGAGAAAGCATGCAGTAAAAATAGGTGAGTTTTAAGGCAGTGATTTAAAAAGTGACACAGACTCAGAATCCCTAATGGACCGAGGAAGGGTATTCCACAATCGTGGTGTGCTACGAGTTGACATTATTAAAGATAGCGCAGCATGCACAAAGAGAGTGTGTGAGGCAACATTGCATTTGCGTACAAGCAGTGCCGGATTATCCTAGCAGCAAAAGTAGCTACATATGTAGTAGCTACATAAGTAGTAGCTACATATGTAGTAGCTACGGGCCCCGCACTTTCAAGGGCCCCGCGCTAAATGCTTTCAAGCTATCAATTCCGGTTCAGTGATTCTGCACTTGCTTTATTACTATAGTACTATACTGCCTTCAACTTTTATGAACGACTGGATGTTTAAGGTTAGCGATTTGTCGTATTATCTGGCTGTATAGCAAATGAAAAAATACAATTACTTTACTATGCAAGTGAAACATTTGTGTTTTAATATTTATGTATTTATTTATTTAGGGCACCTTTATAACATATGCTACAGGCCCGCACTAGCTTCATCCGGCACTGCCTACAACGACGTTGAGAAAATTAACTGCCTGCTTTATTTTACTCCCCCCCCCCCCCCCCCCCCCAAGAAACTCACAGTTTGAGAATTAATCACTGCACATCGTGCTCCTTTGCAGGCCGAGAGGGGCAGGAAGGGGAAGAAGGTGACGGAGCGCGAGAAGAAGAGGAAGATTCTGGGAGAACGCCGCAAGGCACTCAACATTGACCATCTGAGCGAGGACAAGCTCAAGTGAGTGCACTTGGCCGCTGTCACGATCATCATCATCATCATCAGCATCTTCATCATCAGCATCTTCATCATCATCGTCGGCGTTCTTTCATGATGATCATCGGTGTTGTTGCCGAGGATGTGTACAGTACGCACCTCCGGTTAGAGCGGTTGGCTATGTACAGTGCAAAAGAAGTTCAACATTGAACTAGGACTCATATCTAACTGACAGGGTCCTTACCTGTGAACATCTCGTGAACATCTCAACAGCATTGGTTTAAGCCAGCGTGAATTCGGTTGATGAGATACTGAATTTCAACACAGGTCCAGAGTAATGCTTGTCTTGAACCAATGCTGCTGACATTATGCACTCCCTGAAGGCCGTTTGGCTCATGGGATGTGTAAAAAAAAACACTTTATGTCGAGGACAGATGGGCATCTGCTTATTTATTATTAGGTTTGCTCTAGCCAGTTGGCACAGAGATCGGTGGGAGTGATTCCCAATCTTTAAATCATGTTAACTCTATACAATGTTACCAAAAGTATACATTGCTTTTATATCGTGCAAATTGTGGATGGTTTCTACAAAACAAACATTATAAAATATTTTTCCTATCTAATTATATTTTATATATTAGAGTGCCACTCACTCTGCATATGGAAGAAGTGAACTTTCGGCTTTCTTGGGTAACACCCTTCTCTCAATTTGTTCCCTTTGGTGTAAACGTCAACAGTTGACAACCACATTCGACTCTGTTCATAGTCACACGTTGCTCAGGGTCCCCTCCTCCTGTTCTCTGCGTCTGTGCCTCCTATACTCTGACTTTTCTGTGTGTATCACCCGCAATGCATTTTTCAAATTCGTCAACCACCAAGCAAATATTGGGCGATCGTCTCTGAACTAACGGCGCTTTCGGTGTCGCAGACAAATTAATAACAACGGGGAGGTGTAACCTTGACAATAACAAACGCTTACATTTTCATGGGCATCCTAAATAAAATCATAACTGTTCAAGCCAAAACAAAAAGCACTGGTGAACGATCTCTGTAATCCAATCCCACTTGTGTGCCCTGGCAGGGAGAAGGCCACGGAGCTGTGGGAGTGGCTGCACGGACTGGAGTCGGAGAAGTTTGATCTCCTGGAAAGGATCAAGCGCCAGAAATACGATGTAAGATGAATGTTCGGGTGATTCACGTGCCTCTGGTGATCTCGCAGCACCCGCACAGTGTATATCTCTGAAAAGGAATCATTCCACTCGGTGTGTAAACGAAGGTGCGTTTAATTGAGTGTACGAGTGATTGTGTAAATTAATCAGTGTGTATGAGTGCGTGAATGAGTGTGTATACAAGTGTGAGTAAATTATGGCAAATGCATGCCTAAATGGTTTGTGTGAGTGTTGTGACCTGCAGAGTGGTGAGTAAGTGGGTGGGTAAGTAGGTGTGTTGTTTTGAGTGGTAGTGTAGCAGTTAGCTTACTGCGCTACAAACCCGGTGACCTGAGTTCGATTCCTGCTCGCGGCCAACACCAGCGACGATTATCTGAACCGGTGCTGGGCCTCCCCTCGGTCGACTCATCCTCAGATGAGTGCCTGGCACCGTGTGTAAACATCGCCACTTGGGAGACAAAGGCGGCTGGGGATGGTGTTGGCTACCCACCTCCTCGTATGCCGTGCCGGTCTTAATAGGTGCTACTCGCTAACAGGACTTGCCCCAACAGTCTGTGAAGGCTATAAGGGGGATCTTTGTTTTAACCTACAGTGTCATGAGTGGGTGGGTGGTCGAGTGTGTTGTTGTTGTGACCTTTAGTGTGGTGAGTGGGTGGGTGAGTGTTGTGTTGATCTGCAGTGTGGTAGTTGAACACAGAATAGGTGAGATGAAACAGTGTGTGGTAGACCAAGTCCTCAACATGGGTGGATGGACATATAGATGGGTCTATATGTTGATATCGTGCAGAGTAGGATGTGAGCACTTAATTGCCGGAAGGGTACAGAAACCACAGAAATCACTGGCCCAGCGGCATCACTAAAGCACCACAGCTTGATGGACAGCGATTAGCGACGCGTCACACCCATATTAGACAGCCTTGAACACACGCTATAGGTAAAAATCTCAAACTATAGTTAATTGTTTTTATTGTATGTCTTCCTTTACAAGAGAAGCACCTAGTGCCTACTGTGGCATCATCAACCTCAAATTTGTTTATGACCGTATGTTTATTTTGTTTCTGTATTTCAATCGTGGCAGTTTAACACTTCAGTGAGATACGTTTAAAAGAATAGCTTCCAGAATCTGTGTACAGTCGTACCTCGGTATACGACCGCTTTGGAATACGTAGAATTTGGTACACGTCGTGTTTTGACGAGAAAAAAATGTCTTGTGATACGACGTCTTGCTTGGGATACGACGTCTTGTTAGAACTTGTATGGGTCGGGATGAGTCACCGCGTACCCGCGTAGACCCCGTTCACGACTGAAACAAAGCGCCACTCCTCAGTCTGCCTGTACAGTCGATCTCGTTCAGTGCACAACCCTTGCTGTAACTCTCTGTGAATTTTCACATGCATTTATTATAATGTATGTATGCAATTTAGTACTAAGTAGCATCTACATTATGTTATACAACCCCATTACTGTATAATATGCCATATAAAACATAATTTCTTATACTCTGGAACAGATTATTTCATTTCCCTTTATTTCTTATGGGAAACATTCGTTTGGTAGACGTCACTTCCGGTATAAGTCCTCCTACCTTCTGGAACGAATTAACGACGTATACCGAGGTACCACAGTACGTACATTTCTGGTGTTTGTGTGCATCACCTTCCGCTGATGTCCTTTGCCAACTTGCTGTCATTCCGAATGTAGATTCAAAGCCTGAACAGGAGAGTTGATGAGCTGTAAGTACTACATGCATATTCATCAAATTAGGCCAAATAATCCCTAAGGGACATTTTACAATATGTATACAGATCTTCTTCTTCTAAGTTAACATGTGAAAATATATTTCTGTACAGTGCCAGTATTTATAGCATATGAGGCCATTATTTTAGTTTGTAAAGTACAATTTCGTGAATAATGGCAATAAATAATTTGAAAACCCCAGCATTTAAAGCAGCATGCTTGTAAACTCGCATTCTTGACCACTAAACACCAAACACGATGTATGTCACCATCAAACATCACGAAAGACGTACTAACACAGCAACTCGGTTGGTCAACATTATCAATGTAATTGAAAAGCATCGCCTTCACAATCTGCAGCGCTTACTGTGGTTACGAATGCAAGTGCTGCATTTTCATTGGGGATTTGTTCCGTCATATACCGCAAGTCAGTGGAAAACCAATTATAAAATGTCGTGGTTACAGTTGTCTAATATTTGAGGCCGATATTGCATTTCCAATATGTGTTTACCACAATCACTTTTCCCGCCGATGGCATCTAATACTTTGATAGGCCTGTGTACAGCTCTAGCCAGCCCCTGCACCATGGCTGGCTTGGCAATACCTCTAGCACAGTGGTTCTTAACCTTTACTGCAACCTTGCACCCCTTTGGTTCTCAATCATATAAAAAATAATGTTAATAAACACATAAAGAAAGCCATCCCTTGGTGTGGACCAGTTTCAAGGACAATGCATAGATTATCATAGTATGTTTTTTGTTTGCATTTTGACTGCAGGTATTGTGGTTAATGTAGACATGAATCCTCGTAAAAAGGTTTCAGTTTTGTTGCCAGAAAAAAGGGTAAAAACCCTATTATTACATTTTGGTACTGGCAAAGGAGGTCTAATGATGATGATAATACATAGCTTTGACGAAATCAGAATCAGAATCAGAAAGGGTTTTATTCGCCATGTAAGTTCACACCGACACGGAATTTACTTTGGCAGGATGGTGCATACATTCAACATATAGGAATCTAAAATCTTAAATAAGTTTTAAACAAGTATTACTATAATAAGGGTTAAAAGTCTAACACCAAGGGGCTGAAGTGTATAAAATTAAATAAATATCGAATATAAAATAGCTTTAAGATATAATTTAAAAATAAAAAATACAAATAGGGTAACATAGTTAATATCGGCAAGGTGTCGTTATGTAGATCAAATGTTAAAAACAGTGTTAGCCCTTGGCCTTGTTTAACAGGCCAGCAGCAGATGGGAAGAAACTGTTTTTATGGCGTGAGGTTTTGGTCCTGATGGACCGAAGCCTTCTGCCGGAGGGGAGTAGCTGAAACAGAGAATGTCCAGGGTGGGAGAAATCGGCCATAATCTTCCTCGCTCGCCTCATGGACCTTGTCGTGTGCAGGTCCTCGAGGGTTGGTAGATTGCAGGCAATTCCCTTCTCCAATTACCAACAAAGTAGTTGTACTTATGTGCCCGTGCCTAATTTGTGTTTCGATTGACCTAAAAAAAACATCTGGCTGTGTCTCGCACACCCAGAAAGGGCACCTCGCACCCCCGGGGTGCGAGGTGCCCAGGTTAAGAACCACTGCTCTATGGTCTCTTCCGGGTTCACCAACTTATCTGTTGTGTTTAGTGGAGACCAAGGCGAATTGGAAAGGGATTGGTAAATGTTTTGGTGCCATAGTCTGAACTATTTGGATGCTCACATCCACATTGCTGAAAGGGCCCACAGTGCACCGTAGAAAATAGAATCAGAATCTTAATTTTTACTGGAGGAATCCGATGAGCTATGAAGCTCGTTTTCACATATGTCCAGTAGGGGTGAGTCAAAACACAAAATGATCCTGTATGTGTTTTTACTTACATATAAAAACAAGCGCCTTTTGTTAAATTACTAGCTTATATACCCGGCGTTGCCCGGGCCAAAAAATATTTCAAAACTACTCTTAAAAATCTAACAGCAGTGCATACTAACTGTGGTAGTACCTGCTATGATTAAAGCAGTGCATACCGACTGTGGTGGTACCTGCTATCACTACAGTAGTACATGCTGACTCTATAGCAGTATTTATTGACTCTATAGCACAAAGTACTCACCTGACAGAGTGGCGTGGTGAGGCCTAGTCCCGTGCGGTGGTACCTGCTATGATTACAGCAGTGCATATTGACTGTGGTGGTACCTGCTATGATTACAGCAGTGCATACCGACTGTGGTGGTACCTGCTATCACTACAGTAGTACATGCTGACTCTACATCAGTATTTATCGACTCTATAGCACAAAGTACTCACCTGACAGTGGCGTGGTGAGGCCTAGTCCCGTGCAGAGCCTCCGGCCTCGCCTAGATTGTCCAGCCGGCCGAGGTGGCACCTTGGCAGGCTGGGGTTGGGCTGCTATCCCTGGCCGCCCCCCCACCAGCCACGATCTCCCCGGCCGCTCTGCAGTAATATCTACGGCCTATAATGGTAGCATCTAGCAACTGTATATATTAGTAGTAACTGCAAGCATCGGGGTGGGGGGGACATCACACAGTGAAGATGTCCCCCTTACTCCCACCGAAGGCGTGCGACTTGGTATGGGCCGTCCCCCCCACCAAAGGCGCGTGAGTTGGTATGGTCGTGCATGCGTCATAAATAAACAAATAAAGAGAAAGCACAAAAAATCGCACTAAATCGCTAATTAAACTTATTCAAAGTTGACGAATGTGAAAAATGATTAGTGCTTGCTCATGGTGGGGCTTATGGCGTGGTACCTGTTTATTTTTATTTAACGTAAACCCCACCGTTGGAGAGCCAAATCCTTTGCAAGCGCGCGAACACACACAAAGCCACAAACTGACAGACAATTTTTTACTTTTTTATATATAGATATTATATTAACTTAAATTTGGAAATGTATCACTTAATTGGCTCTGTATCAATTATGTATGCATTGCCTGCAGACAATAACATATTCAAATTAAACTCAAGCTGTCAACATCACCACAGCCCAGGGTTTCCAAAACTCCAGTCCTCGTGACCAGGCACGCTACATTTTTCCGCATTTACCAATGACTGTACGTGCCTTACTTTGAGCTGCTGGTTATTAGTGCCCATCATCTTCTATCCTTTATAGATTATACTGTACGTAAAAAAATGCAATATATACCGTGTATGTGAAGAGCCGCCGTGGGCCGCGTTGGTTTTGGGGTATCGTGCGCGCAAATTTTCATCCGTGAACGTTTTCCTCTCGCAGGAACGCGAAGGGCCGTCGTGGCAAGGGCAAGGGCGCCGCACGCAAGAAGTGAGGCCCCCACCGTCCACCCCGGCAGGCACCCACAGAACGGACGGACGGATGCGGTGTCCTCTCCTCTCCCGCATGTCACCCCAACTGCACGACCTCCGAGCGCACAACGAGAGTTGCTCCCAGCCCCACAACCGACGAACGTGCCACCAGTGTTAGCTTAGACGAGATGGTCTCGCCTATGGTAGGCGCTTTGTTCTGGATCATAAACTTGTTCCCAATAAGATGTTTACCCCAGAAAAATCGATGGCAATATAACCATGATTGCACATTTGAAAAGACCGCAGAAGACAAAAATGTACCTTCTGTTAAACCATATTTGTGCTTTATTTTACTGTGCTCTGTTTTCGAATTCTACCCCTGGATTCAATAAAGTGCAGTTGGCATAGTAGCTTGAAAGTTTTCCTGTCATATATTGACTTAAAGCATTCGTGACTGCAGGAACTCATATTGTTGGGTCTTTCAGTAAAGTCACGTAGATAGACTTTACCGAAAGACCCAAGAATATGTTTCACTGTCATTTTACGATGCTTTCCATGCGGTTGTCTTTTGAAGTTTTTTATGTTTAACTCAATAAAAATTATTACACTGCACAAAAAACGCACCCAAGAACAGATTTTCGCACACCGCTCACAACTGACTAGCGGCATGGCCAGTAATCACGCCTTCCCCTAGGCGCGCTCAGCCTTAAATAAGTGCTCTGTATTGTGGTGTGTACACATGGGTGGTGCACAACAGAAATCCAGCGCTTTGGAGGCAACATTTACCTTTCTCCTCTTATAACTCATTTGAGTTTATCTATGGGACATTTTTGCCAGTATCGAAAATGATGAAAAACAAGAATAGATGTTATCCTCTCTGGCAATAAAACAGCTGTGAAGATGTACTGTTCGCCTTTTGGCGTTCTCTGGTCTAACACTGGTGAGACAAGGCCATGGAGAAGGCTGTCTCTGGTGCAGGCCAACCAGTTTCAAAGACAATGCATATATCATCAAAGCATGTTTTGTTTGCATATTTTGCCACAAACGTGTGGTTAACGCAGACTAGATACCTTGCAAAAGGTGTATATATATTTGGTTTTGAACATCTTAACACCTCATGTTGTTTTGCCAGAAAGGGTAAATGCCTATTCTTATTTTTCATTTGAGTTTGTTTTATGCCCCGTCAAGTCTACATATCTCAAATAAGAATTCTGTACCTTGAACCACTCTCGCTTTCTAGAGCAATGTAAAGCGTAGTATGTTTTTTCAGTAACAAGCAATAATGTATTGGCAATTTATTTTGTTTAATTGAATTCCATTTCATAACAGTGGCAGTTTGTATCTGGCCCTTCCATAGATCCACTCTGCCTTACTATGTCCCACTTGTCACGTGTGAACATCGGCGCTGGGGGATGAGAAGGTGGCTGGGTGATGAAGTTGCAACACCATCTCAAATTCCATTCCTCTGGACTCCTCTGTATGTCATGGTCCAAATCCGCCAATTTTGGTCAATTACTAGCGATTTACTTTGGGAAATGCCACATTGCGACATTGTCCACGATGCGTCAACTCGTAAACTCGAAGCTATTTTTACGTTATCAGATAAGGCCCATTGAACGATGTAGCTCTTTTTTAGAAACGTCCTGGCCACAAATTATCGCAAATAATATCCCCTTGATGAATACCTGCTGTGTTCACCTGGTACTGCATAGGGACAGCTGCCACCGGGGGGTCCTGTGGCTTGGCTACAGCCGGTCAATGGAACAGTTGAGATGATATGTAAGGCGCTTTGAGTTGCTGACGCATGCATTTGCCATGCAGCTAATAGCACTTGACCTTATGGCATGCATATATGAATGATAAATATGTCCCAGACACGTCTTGAGGGATGGCATCCAAAGCAGGCACTGCAGTGTCAGGAGAGACATTAAAATACTCAATGGGCTCGTTGAAAAATGAATGTTGCTTTATTGAATAATGCACGTTTTGAATATAAGCATTCAGCATTCTTTGTTTCCACGAAATACCCCTTTTAAACAATGCAGGTGTTAATTTCTGAGTACATTACACGTTTCTGGAATTGTACCGTTCTTGGTAAATAATCTAAGTAACGGTCGTCTGGAAATATCCCCAACCCCCTAGAAGCTCCCCAAGTAAAACACTTCGACTCTTTCAGCTTATTCAAAAAATAATTTGAATTATTTTTAAGAGTTTAAACGCTATGCCAAAACGAATATATATTTGTAATGATCAAATTACCAGTTAAATTGACATATAACATTTACAATAAAATTATACTTACTATAATGTTCATTCATAAAAGCTCTCCTTAAATAAATACAATAACGTTTTTTTTTAATGCCATTTCTCATTGAAGGAATTTGCAACAACATTAGCTGCTGCGGAATGCATGCCAAAGCAATGCTCCAGTGCATATGGGATGACGCTGGTTGGGCCACCACCGCTTCCTCTTTCAGTCAGCCGAGGAATATCAACACCGTGCGGTATCCTCCAATTTAGCTCCCGCACCTGCCAATTAGCTCCCGCACCTGCCAATTAGCTCCCGCACCTACCGATTATCTCCCGCACCTACCGATTATCTCCCACACCTACCGATTAACTCCCGCACCTACCGATTATCTCCCGCACCTACCGATTATCTCCCGCACCTACCGATTAACTCCCACACCTACCGATTATCTCCCGCACCTACCGATTAACTCCCGCACCTACCGATTAACTCCCACACCTACCGATTATCTCCCGCACCTACCGATTAACTCCCGCACCTACCGATTAACTCCCGCACCTGCCAATTAGCTCCCACACCTACCGATTATCTCCCGCACCTACCGATTAACTCCCGCACCTGCCAATTAGCTCCCACACCTACCGATTAACTCCCGCACCTACCGATTAACTCCCGCACCTACCGATTATCTCCCGCACCTACCGATCATCTCCCGCACCTACCGATTATCTCCTGCACCTACCGATTATCTCCCGCACCTACCGATTAACTCCCGCACCTACCGATTAACTCCCGCACCTACCGATTATCTCCCGCACCTACCGATTAACTCCCACACCTACCGATTAACTCCCGCACCTACCGATTAACTCCCGCACCTACCGATTATCTCCCGCACCTACCGATTATCTCCCGCACCTACCGATTATCTCCTGCACCTACCGATTATCTCCCGCACCTACCGATTATCTCCTGCACCTACCGATTAACTCCCGCACCTACCGATTATCTCCCGCACCTACCGATTATCTCCTGCACCTACCGATTATCTCCCGCACCTACCGATTATCTCGCGCACCTACCGATTATCTCCCGCACCTACCGATTAACTCCCGCACCTACCGATTCGCACGGTTGGCAACGTACGGTGCAAAAGAAGCTCAACATACGTACATTCCAATTCAACGCCACGGATTACAGATCTCGGTCAACCATCAACTCCGGCACACCCCACGAACACGGATGCCGATTGCCGACAAGGCCCGCGGCGGCGGAAGCCTCCGGCTTAGCTGCTTATCTTGGTGAGCATCTTGTTGAAGGCTTGCTTAACGTGCGTGGTGGAGCTGCGACGACGCGCCTTGCCCTGCGCCGCGCGCTGCCGGAGCTTCTCGCGGCAGACGTCGTAGAAGGCGTCGCTGATGCAGCCGTCGCCGTTGCACGCCGAGCACTCGAAGAAGGCGCAGCCGAGCTCCACCGCCAGGCGCTCGCCATCCTCCACGCTCACCTGGGCTCCCGGCAGCAGACGCACGGCCACGTGAACGGTGCTGCTGCTGCAGCCAACGCCCTCAAATAATGTTCAAGTCGTCATAATAGTCATTTCGATTTAAAGCTTTCGTGACTGCAAGGATTCATCTTCTTTGGTTCTTTCGGTAAAGTCACGTAGAATGAGAATAAAATAATAAGTTGATAAAATAAAATAACACAATAATATTCTCACGACGTTTCAGCCACAACATAAGCAGCCTTCATCAGGTGAAGGGACGAGACTTACTGGAGGACAGCGCTGGAGTGAAAAAGCCACGCTCAGATCACGACCTTTAAGCTGTGCGAGAAGAAACAAAGCGCCTTGACAAAGGAATTAGCATATAATTTAGCAATGAAATGGCTGAGTGATTAGCTTGTGACTGGTCACAGAAATGGCTATGTTAAAGTTAAAGCATACACATCTGCAAAGACACCCCTTGACAAAGGAATTAGCATAGAATTTAGCATTGAAATAGCTAAGTTAAAGTATACACATCCGCAGAGGCACCCCTTGACAAAGGAATTAGCATAGAATTTAGCATTGAAATAGCTGAGTGATTAGCTTGTAACTGGTCACAGAAATAGCTATGTTAAAGTCAGAGCATATACATTCCCCGAGGCACCTAGTACAAATCAAACAGGAGAATTTAGCATTGAAATAACTAGGCGAATTTAGCATTGAAATAACTGAGTGATTAGCTTGTGAATGGTCACAGAAATGGCTATGTTGAAGTCAAGGCCTACACATCTGAGCTATTCACAGTAACTGGGTATACAATACAATATATAATGCATGCTATATAGTGAACCAATAAAAAACTAAAATATAAATTACCTCAATGTTATCAATAAACTCTATATTCTCCAATCAGCTAAGCTACCAACAATAAGTAGTTATATATCACAATGCTATATGGCGAAAAAATGGGTGGATTCTTACCCTCAACTTTAGCAACACGGATAGCTACGGGTCCCGTTCAGACGGACGAGTTCATCCATGGTCGGAACAGAGGAGGGGGAGAGAGACAGCTGCGAGGCGCTGTTATACTCCATGTTGTAAACCATACCATTAACCGTGGTGTGAGAGGTATTTAGAGTCAATGCCAGCGAAGAGCTGCGGTCTGAAGGTCATCGTAAAATACAATTAATTAAGAATGGAAATGGTTTAAAACATCTTTCCAATGGTTACTAAGCCAGAATCCATCTTCTCGGTTGAAATCGTCTCTGTGCTTGTATATATGAATGGCCTCATGAACGAATCTCTCATGGTAGCCGGTTGGTTTGCAAAGAACCTCCGTCTTGGAGAAGTCAATGTCATGTGAGCCCACTGAATTATAACAGTGATCTGCCACGGCAGAGCAGTTCGTTCTACCGTGTTTCAAGTCTGCTTTATGTTCGCGGATGCGGTCCGAGATATGTCGTTTGGTTTCTCCAATGTAGCTACTACCACAGAGGCACTTTAGTTTGTAAACGCCCGGGTACTGTATGTCTGGAACAGCATCTTTTACAGATGGAACTAGATCACGGATTTTATGTACTGAGTTGAATCGGACCTGGATCTTGTGTTTATTCAGGATTTTGGAGATCTTTTTAGTGACCCCTGCAATGTAGGGTAAGGTGATGGTTTTGAGTGGCTCCACAAGAGGATCCTTCTTCATGACTGGAGTGATGGCTTTGCGGATTGTGTAGTCAGAGTAACCATTAGCCCTGAGAGCCTGGTGTACGTGCTTGAGTTCACTGGTAATGTGTTCCTGGTCGGAAATGCATTGGGCTCTATGGTATAGAGTCTTGATGAGGGAGTTCTTCTGGGATGGATGGTGGTGGGAATCCGGTTTCAAGTAAGCATCTGTATGGGTAGCTTTCCTGTAGAAAGAGTGGCTCATTGAACAATCATGTCTCCTTTTAATTAAGACATCCAAAAAGGGTAGTTTGCCATCTTTTTCGACCTCCATGGTAAATCTGATGGCTGGGTGTATGGAATTGATGTGGTCGCGGAATTGGTCTAGAGCAGGCTGGCCATGTGGCCAGATGACAAAGGTGTCATATATACAAGCACAGAGACAATTTCAACCGAGAAGATGGATTCTGGCTTAGTAACCATTGGAAAGATGTTTTAAACCATTTCCGTTCTTAATTAATTGTATTTTACGATGACCTTCAGACCGCAGCTCTTTCGCTGGCATTGACTCTTAATACTTCTCACACCACGGTTAATGGTATGGTTTATAACATGGAGTATAACAGCGCCTCGCAGCTGTCTCTCTCCCCCTCCTCTGTTCCGACCATGGATGAACTCGTCCGTCTGAACGGGACCCGTAGCTATCCGTGTTGCTAAAGTTGAGGGTAAGAATCCACCCATTTTTTCGCCATATAGCATTGTGATATATAACGACTTGTTGTTGGTAGCTTAGCTGATTGGAGAATATAGAGTTTATTGATAACATTGAGGTAATTTACATTTTAGTTTTTTATTGGTTCACTATATAGTATTCATTATATATTGTATTGTATACCCAGTTACTGTGAATAGCTCAGATGTGTAGGCCTTGACTTCAACATAGCCATTTCTGTGACCAGTCACGAGCTAATCACTCAGTTATTTCAATGCTAAAATTCGCCTAGTTATTTCAATGCTAAATTCTCCTGTTTGATTTGTACTAGGTGCCTCGGTGAATGTATATGCTCTGACTTTAACATAGCTATTTCTGTGACCAGTTACAAGCTAATCACTCAGCTATTTCAATGCTAAAGTCTATGCTAATTCCTTTGTCAAGGGGTGCCTCTGCGGATGTGTATACTTTAACTTAGTTATTTCAATGCTAAATTCTATGCTAATTCCTTTGTCAAGGGGTGCCTTTGCGGATGTGTATGCTTTAACTTTAACATAGCCATTTCTGTGACCACTCACAAGCTAATCACTCAGCCATTTCAATGCTAAATTATATGCTAATTCCTTTGTCAAGGCGCTTTGTTTCTTCTCACACAGCTTAAAGGTCGTGATCTGAGTGTGGCTTTTTCACTCCAGCGCTGTCCTCCAGACAGTCTCGTCCCTTCACCTGATGAAGGCCGCTTGTGTTGTGGCCGAAACGTCGTGAGAATATTATTGTGTTATTTTATTTTATCAATGTATTATTTTATTCTCATTCTACATGACTTTACCGAAAGAACCAAAGAAGATAATTGTCATTATCCTCATCATCGTCACCATCATCACCATTCATCATCACAATCATAGCTTCAACATCATCATCATCATCGTGAGCCGTGGTCCATCCAACTGCTGGATGAAGGTCTCTCGCCTGTTCATCATCTGGCCTTGCTGCACCTCCGATTAGTACGGTTGGCTACGTACGATGAAAACGAAGTTCACCGTATGTACGTTTCCCCGAGTGGACATTGCGTTTCATTAGTATTTTCCAGATGCGTGCGTGTGTGTGAGAAAGCACAGCCTTGCATATGCCACTGAGGCCTCAATCATCCAATAAGGAGTGTCGTAAGTGACTTTGTTGTCAATGTGCTGTTGGGACATGTTTGCAACAAGTTTAGGACGTTAGAGTTCACGTTTTTATCAAGTATGGGGGAATGCGGGCATGATTATTAAGTAGTGTACGTAATTATAATTGTAACGATGTGTGCCAAAACCCAAACAATTGTCGCATGCAGGCCCCCAGGGTCAGGAATCTGAGTCGGATCTCGTGAGCAGCATTGGGTGGGATGTGAACCGTGGATGTGCTGTGGGTAAACGGTTCCATGCTATAGGCTGGAAGTAGAGATTCCACTGCTGGCTTAGGGCTGCAACACCCAGTACTATCTTCATAAATGGGACTGTTATTTTACTTTAAATAGCCTAATGAAATATCTTTAGGGATTTTTGTAATTGATTTTAAACCTTGAAAATTGCTTTTAAGAGGTCATAATTTAGAATCCACCATGCCCAACTATAATCTTGGCTGGTAAAAAAAAAATCAATTTGTCAGGCCTTTCCCTTGAAATTAAATTGCATGAAATTCACTTCCGCAGACTCCATGGTTATGGGATAAAATTATCCGTAGCATATGAGGTGTGGTAGAAGATAACAAGTGCCAGGCTACACGATTGGATTGGATCAGATGATGGTACCAACGATGCGTGGATTTGGAATGTGATCACATCAAGATCATCTCATGAGACCATACATCTGCTCATTGACCAATCAGGCGATGCCTATTCAACCAATTAGCCGAAGTAAAAAAAACTATCGATTTAAAAGTATGCATTTGTGTTAAAATGTACTTTTCACTGTTTAAAAAAAAATAACCGTGGTAATAATGAATGATTTCTCAAGAACGTTAAAAATAATAGGCCGAAATCAAGCAGCTATTTTGTCTGCCACCTTGAAAGTGCCCCTCTATTGGAACTGAAAATCAGCTGCCTTAGGCTGCCTTTAAAATGAATATGAAGACATTCATTTATTAAGGTTTATAGCCAATCCCCTTTGCCATGATTTGTTTGACCCTGTCTGAAATCTAATAAAATTTATTTCATGGGTATTTATTGACCTGTTAATTTGCACGTATTAGATTTATAAAAAAAATACATTACATGGTATTTCTTTCACAATGTTACGTTAAATTAGAAATTTTATATTGAGTGAATAGCTTTCTCATGTAAAGCACATCACTGCTTCAAAACATGTACATCTTCAAACGTGGCTTTGGAGGTTGCAAATTTAGACCTGTGTTAAGAAGTGTGCATTTTATATACAGTATATATAAAGATGATACAATTAAATTCCGCTCATCCTCCTGAGTCATCTTTGCTGAAGATCAGCCACTTATTTTCTAGCTACGCTGTGAGAGTCCAGATTTGAAAACCCACACAGGTTGAGAGAACGCCTGGCCTGGCACATACCCTCCACTAAACATTCAAGCTCATCCCTCCACTTCCACAGCACCTCCCACTAGCACGGTTGGCTACGTACAGTGCAAAAGAAGTTCAACGCACATATGTACATAGCTAATGTAGTCCATAGTTCAGCACCTTCAATGTACTGTATAGGCTACGACGTTGCATGTTTTACCTATTATAATCAATTTGTTATGTTTTACGATGTTGAGCATAACTCTGGGTGTACTTAATCATTTAGATTTGTGCCATTATTCCTGATTCACTATGTTTACGATAAAATATGAATATCCGTGATTTTATATAATTCTACATGTTCTATATTATTACACACGATATCATACATACACACGTGGCTTTGGAGAAGCTACTGCATCTGTATGTGGACATAAATACAATCACATTTGAACACAAAGGGGCGCAAAATGGTGTCGAATTGTAAAATTCCACAGACCTACCAATACTTACACAATCATCCTTGACTCACACCGGCCCACCCACACACTCACAAATTGTTCGCTGTTAGTGGTATTCAAGCCACGTATCAAGGACTTGCACACAAACCACCGTCATTTCACAACCTTCACGTTGGTCTGCTGCTCTGGAACCTTTGCAAATTGTCACACAACTGTGATCACTCACTGTTGCGCTCAGTTTTTACCGAGGATAATGCTTATAGTTCCAACAGTTGGATTTTAGCACTTCAATTTATACAATTAAAACTATTCCCATCAGTGTACCCTCAGTGTACTGGGATTAAACGTAGATAAAGGATTACGCTTTGCCATCTGGCAATAGCTGATTCGTGTTTTTGTCTGTAAGCATCAAGCTGCACATATCCCCATACAAATAACATGCTTCGTACTCCATAGTTTAGCAACCATTCAGAAATACATTAGGAATGCTGTATACTAAATGTGTATTATAAAACATGAATGAGTGATATACGGGTCACAGTTTATCCTTAAAGCGGTAGCTTTCAGACTAAAAGCTTGGAAATATATTTTATATATAATATATATTGCATCGCAGTGCCATGTTGCTTACGAGGAATGCTGTTCGCACCACAGTCTCAACAAGTCGTTTCGGGCTAGACCGCGTAAGTATATAAACGCATCATTAAAACCCTCCACCACCCGACACAGCTGATCAGTTCATGCTGTCACGTAAAACAGAACGTGACGATTTGTCACTAGCCACAACTTTTACAATCTGAGTACGACGTTTCGCCAGAAATTACAACGAGCTTCATCAGGCGACAGCCAGATTTGTGGAGAAGTCCACCTGTTTTGTTCCTCATATAGAGGCGTACAGAGCTTGGGCAATTATTGGCACCGGCTCACTGCCTGGCTGCCTTCCAGCTCGTCTGTGGTTCCTGAGCGATTGTGAGATGCAATTTGCATGAACAACACTTTTAAAAACAACAACACGAAACCAACAGAATGTCTGCAGTTTTCTTGAAATTCCCAGCCGACTGTGATGTTGGTGTTTATGATTACAGTACTATATATTTACTAGTGTCTGTCATTTGACGGGTTCGTAAAATTTTAGCTTTATGAAAAAAAGGTAAAGATTATATTTTATTTATTTAATCAAAAATATTTGACATTTGGTGTAAATTGACGATCATCTCCCAAAAAGTTTTCTTTCAGATGCATTTTGTTGAATCGGCACTCTGATGTTGGTTGGATTTTTGCATTTTGACAAAGTAACATAATAAAGTTGTCCATGGGGAAAAAAATGTTCGTTCAGATAAAGTCCAACATACTCAAAGTTTTCCCTTGTGACCTATTGACAGTGATATCAAACGCAGGAATGATTGCAAACTGTCTTCGGTTCAAAATAAATAGTAAATTCACATCAGACGTTACCAGGTGGCATTCCAGATGGTGTTAGCAGCGTGCTGCAGAACATTTTACTGGATAATTTGACACCCGGATCCACATAGCCTAACCCACCATTACACACAGCATTCAGTGTCAGGTGTGAGGCACATATCACCAAAACTATATGTATAATATGACACAACTGAGTCTCATAGTCTGTTTATGGGGCACCATCCAAATTATTTTCTGAAAAAAGTGATAAAAAATGTTGTCATAAATAGCAGGCACTTGAGTATGTCTTATTAACAATGTTATATTGTATATAAGAATAGGTTTGACTGTTTCTGGCAATAAAACAGGTGTTAAAAATGTTAAAACACCAAACATAAACCTTTTGTAAACTGTACTTGTGGTGAACATGCAAACAAAAAAACATGCTCTGGTAGTATATGCATTGTCGTTGACACTGATTGGTCCACATCAGAGGCAGCTTTGTTTACAGCCTAGTCTCAAACAGTGTCAGACCAGAGGACGCCAAAAGGCGAACAGCACAAGGACAATGCCACTGCCACGAAATTGAGAGCTCGGGGTGAGCAGCTTCATCATCGGACCTCCCTTACCTGTGTAATGGCACCTGCTGGCTGGAAAAGGAAGCACGGGTACGGGCACCGCTAAAGACAACATCCAATCTGAAAGGGAGAGGTATCTGGGGCAAAGGTAATGGGCGGGGTTGGCCGAGACGCTCCGGGAACCTGCAAGAACGTTCCACGATAGGGCGTGGTCAGAGGCGGAGGCTAGCCGCGCCTGGTAGGATATAAGCAGGGCCGGAACGGGGCTCGGGGTTCCTGTGTGGAGTCTTGGGCCTGGACTGCGTCGCTGCTCGCCGTCATCTCTCTCCGTCGTCCGGCCACGTTGAAGATCCACCTGCGGGTTTCCATCACCCTCCTCGGCACGCCGCCAGCCAGCGGCGTAGCCGAGTGCGGATGGTGGAACCGCGCCGAGTGATCGGCCGTGTGTGTGTAGCCAGTAGAGACGCTAACATCCAAATGTTGTCCTCAGAGTGAGAAGATAAGGTTGGCCTGTGTTGTGCCCATAAATGAATAAAATAAGTACCCTCTACACGACGTGTCACGGAAGTCGCTCATTACACCAGTATCACAATAAAAGAATAGTTTTTACCCTTTCTGGCAATAAAACAGATGTTTAGAGCCTGTTTGAGACAGATTTCTTGAGAGCCTGAAAGGGTAAAACCTATTCTTATATTGTGATACTGGCAAGGGAGGTTTCATGATGTAATATTGTTTGTAACAGAAGCATGATACATCTGTTTACATTATTAAACATGCATTTGTTCACAGTGCGTGGGGAACTCACCTGTCGTGCATGATCCAAGTCGATCTTGTTTCCCAGGAGCACTGTGTGCACAATCTGTGGCTTCTTGATTTCATCAATCTGAGCCTTAATCTGGGCAATCTCGTCGAAGCTGCATCTGTCCGTGGTGTCGTAGACCAGCAGGAAGGTGTCCCCCCAGCGCACGTAGCCTTCCCTCTGTCCAGAATCATCCTGCGTCTTCAACAGAATTGACAAACAGCGTCGCACGCAGTCAGTGCAAGGTGATGACGTAACCGGTGACAAGGCCACAAATGAGCGACCGATCCAGGATGGAGCAGTCATTATTTAAAAGTGATCCTACTGGTCACGGTAAAGTCACAAATCTATTTCTTTTTCTTACGGTTGATGTTGATGTCGAGCAACACCTTTAATTTACATTGAGGTGGTTGATGAGCCAGTACATTGCGGTAGGAGTAGCGGAGCGTATCGCTGTGATGACACCTCCTTTGCATTTTTGACCACAGTCACACACCAGAGGCGTTTGAATGTTCCATACATTTTCCATCAAGTCATGTCATCCGTTACAGCAACAAAGCTCCCATTGCAAAAATGCGCGTTGAATCTCATTTGGAAGCCTTTGCTCTGTATTCTATTGAAATGAAAACTGACGCAGTATAATTTCCATCGATACACATTTTCCCTTGTAAACAAAAAAATATTTTATCCATTCACTCGTGATTTGTGATGCACAACATTAGTTTGACCAGGACACCACGGCTAATGTGGTCATAAATCATCAAGTACGGCAATGTTGCCAATATGTGGCCCAATTGGTTATTTTTCAGTAACAACAGAGAAGGAGGCCACGTTTTCACATGTTTGCCTTGCTTTTCACAACGCACAGCAGGCTCAGTACTCGTCACAATTTGGCATTTCACATGATTTATTTTACGGAAAGCCTTCTGATTTTTCTTCCTGAAAACCAAGTGTACGTTCTCCTGTGTTCATGTGTGCTGTGCTTGATTTTACCGAAGGGAAGACTAAAAAAAAACGTGGATGCACTGGTGGTGGTTCCAAGCGTTAAACCTATTTACATATTACCGTGTCACTCATATTTTGTTGTACGCTACCTCAAAACGCTATGCTGCTTGTTGCATGCTGAATCATGCAGCGATGCTTGTTACGCGATAGAGCTGAACCATGCCAACAGAGATGACTACGGAGGTAAACATAAATGAATCACTTCTAGCTTTGAAGCTTTCGTGACTGCAAGGATCCCATACTATTTGGTTCTAATCGGTAAAGTCACGTAGGTAAAAAAATAAAACAACAAAAATCACGACGTTTCGGCCACAACACAAGTGGCCTTCATCAGGTGAAGGGACAAACTGTCCAGCGGACAGCGTTGGAGTATAAATGAATCACATTTAAAGTAACATAAAGTGCGTCACAGTGTCATGTCCCTCACGGGGAGCGGCGGTGCAGTGGGTTGGTGCGCCAAGCTGCAAACCCAGCAACCCGAGTTCGATTCCCGCTCACGGTCACCAACACCTGAGCTTCCCCCTAGGTCGACTAAGCATAAAATGAGTACATGGTGCAATATGTGCATTTCATAAGAGGTTTTTTTGGGGGTTAGATCGCGTAAATATATAAATAATGTGTCGTAAAAACCCGCCACCACCCGACACAGCCAACTAGTAAGGGTTGTCACGTCAACAGAACGTGGCCAATTCGTCACTAGTACAGCACCAGTGTATAGTGTAGTGTATAGTAGTGGCGTGTATAGTAGTGTAGTGTATAGTGTAGTGTATAGTGTAGTATACTAGTACAGCACACCGGTGTATTGGAGAGCCAAGCCACAACATTTACAAACTGAGTACGACGTTTCGCCAGTAATTACAACTAGCTTCATCAGGCGACAGACAGATTTGTGGAGAAGTCTTACTGTTTCGTTCCTTACATAGAGGAGTAGATGTGGTGACCACCTTTCTGCGCTCTTGCGAAAAGTGGGGGGGGGGGAGATTACTGAGGCAAGGTACATTATGCATGTGCATTATGCGATCCCTTTGATCTTGTCCTTCCTGTCTATTGTGTTTATTAAAATAGCCCTACTAACGGTAATCCCTATTGAAGTATGCTGCCCTTTGTAGGCATGCATTTAAATAATGTATTGATGATTCGCTTCCACGCAGCACTAAAACGGTAGCTATCCGAATGGTTAAAATTATTTTTATTTCTTTCAATTTCGATAGATTATCTACGTAATTAGACTTGGCCAGTAATAGCTAGTTTTGCAGAGAACTTCAACATTACCAAAATCAATTGAGTGTCCTTGTTGGCACGCGTGTTCTGCTACTGCTGACGGTTGTATTTGGGAGAATTCAATATTTCTCTGGTGTTCTTTTAATCTCGTGCTGATTATTTGTCCTGTTTGCCCAACATAACATTTACCACACGTGCAGTTAACCCTGTACACACCTTCTGTCGATAGCTTCGGTAATACATCTTTTGTACCAGATATTAATTTCTGCATTGTATGTACCGTGCCAAATCTGACTTGGATGTTTTGTTACTCCCGCAATGTACAGTATTTTGATCGTTTTAATTACTTGGGCAGTTTCAATGCTCGTGTTATTTGATTTGGTTTTGGCATTCAGTGCCCTGTTGATTTGTGCCTAATTATAACCGTTCATTTGCAGCACTTCTTTAACATGTTGAATTTCACTTCTCAGAATGTCACCACCTGACACTTTCTTAGCTCAATGAATGAGCGTCTTGATGAGAGCAGATTTCTGTGCGGGGTGATGGTGTGACTCTGCGTTCAGATAGGCGTCAGAATGCGTTTTCTTCCGGTAAACACTGTATGTTATTTTACCATTTCTACCCTGTCCGAGCAGAATATCCAGAAATGGTAGAGTTCTGTCAGCTTCCACTTCCATGGTGAACTGGATGGATGGGTTTTGCAAGTTGAGATGATTTAGAAATGCGTTCAGTGTATTTTGGCCGTGTGGCCAGACCACCAATGTGTCATCTACATATCTAAACCAAGCAGATGGTTTTAGTGTGTTTGAAGCTATTGCTTTTGTTTCAAAATCTTCGTGTACAAATGATCTATCACAGGAGACAAAGGAGAGCCCATTGCTGCTCCTTCCTTTTGTTTATAGAAGTCACTTTGCCACAAGAAGTAGGTGTTCTTTAGACAGTGTTCAGCTAGTCTTGGGATATCTTTGGCTAAACTTTTGTTCGTTACCAGAGTGTCGAGTAATTTAATTGACTCATTGACCGGAACCCTCGTGAACAGAGAAGTTACATCAAAACTTACGAGGATATAATTACGGTTAAGCTTAATATCTTTAATTATATTTATGTTCAGAGTTTATGATGAACGAAGAGGTCCTACCGATTTGGAGCTGTATTTGTTCCGTTACGTATTGTGCTCATTTGTACGTGGCAGAGCCTATTGCACTAACTATTGATCTTAATGGGACATCAGGTTTGTGAATTTTTGGTAGCCCATAAAGTCTTGGTGGTTTTGATGCCCTTGGTTTGATGAGGTATTACTCTTCTTTGGGAATTGTTGTTTTACGTTCCAATGTGCTGGTTGGGTCTCGTTTAATTTTAAGATAGGCACATTTCACCACTCGGGAGACAAAGGCGGCCAGGCGTGGTGCTGGCCACCCACCCCCCTCGTGTGCTCTGCCATCCTTCTTTGGTACTCCCTAACAGCACTTGCCCCAAAAATCTGTTAATGCTGTACAGGGGATCCATGTCTTTGTTTGTCCCTGAGAGATGTATCTTCAGCCTGTCAGACTGAAGAAGACCTAAAGGTTCAACCGTATCTGATTTCAGATCTGTGACATTACGGTTCACACGGATATTCTCCCCTCAGACAAGTACAGTAGTTTACATTTCCTTTCCATTCACATTGATAAAGAAACAAATATTCATGGCAAAATGTAGATGTCGTGCACATGATATTGGTCCATTCGCTCTTGTGGGGTGTATTTGAGGCCACAAAAGTCAATAGCATATCCAGCTCAGCAGCGATATTCACAACCAGCATTGTCGTTCAGGTGTAAAAGGGAACACAAGTCACATCAACGTGAAGGAAACTGAATAGTTAAAAGAATAAATCAGGTTTAAGTTTCTTAAAAAATCTGGTCATTTTATGCACACAATGCCAGCTCTCCATCATCCTAAGCAATACGTTATGCAATTGAAGTCTGAATTTGCTATGTTTTGCAGTTAAATTGCTTTTAACTCAAACGACTGTTTCACCTATTTAATACCTACTTCATATATTTATCGAGGTTATTTTTAATCATTAGATATTTATAAAAGGATATTAATTCGAAAAAATATATATAGCAAGTAAAAGTTGTGGACAAGTCGTGATGACTATATTTTCACGAATGATTGAATATGGACTTGTATCGTTAAACGATTCGTGACATGTGCCTTCAAAAGGAAGATTGCGATGTTGATGTGCGTCTGCTCATTCTCAGAGACTGCGTGAAAGACGTTTTTAACAGTTCATGCTGCCGCTTTGCAGTGTTTAACATGTTCCAGTGCTCAGTGACAGTGGTGTCACTGACAAATTAGACGTTTAATACTGTCATATTGCGTTTTTATAATGCAGCGATCGCAACAGGGCATAATTCATACGTGATTAATTTAAAGGCGACGTGATTCGCTTAAAGTATGTACCGTATAGTGAAATGGCATAATACTTGTAATTGCAAGTCATATCAGGTTTTGCAGTAGCAGATATTTTTTTCCCTCTCTCATATTCATTGCAGATGACTGCATATTAATCTCTAGAGAAAAATGTTCTGTAATGCATTTTAAAAGCACATGACGTTCTCTTGGGAAACAACAAAAGCCTCCTTGTGGACTCCACACTGTGGATAGAGTGGCTGTAAGAAACATGATTTTTACTTTTCTAAATACAGTGAACTCCGTGATTGCAATGGCAATACTCTGGCCTTTTATTAAGTGAGTAATTATGGATGTCAAAAAGGCACCTGTCTTTGAGACACTAATCAACCCAGGTTTGTGGGAATTTCAATGTCACGTGAGAGATCCGTTGGGGCATTTTCAGCACCCACGCTTTGTATAATGCATGAAGTTGCTCGGTTTGACGCTGAATGGGGTGATAGAGACGCGTGTCTGTTGCCTGCCATGGGCACGGATGTGCCTCGTGCAGCCGAACCACACTGGCCAACAGCACGGGCCTCCTGCTGGAATTAGGATGCATGGGTTGTTATCCTCACATCCACTTCACCCACCTGCCCAGCCGTGTCCAGGATCTCCATGGTCACTGGTTCCTCGTCAATTATTGCTTGGTGTCGGTAGGTGGACTCTGTAAAAGGTAGCAATAAAAATATCACTCATTTACAAACCAAGTCTTCACTGTGAAATTACATCACCAATGTATGTATGCATATTGAACTTCTTTCGCACCGTACGTAGCCAACCTTTCTAATCGGAGGTGCGGGGGAAGGACAAAAAACTAAACACGAAAAGCAATGGTGAATGGTGATGCAAGGCCTTGAGAATAAATGTAATAATATGTAATCCCACAATGCCCTGTGAGCATCATTACACCTTTTGTATTTGGCTCTTCAATATCTGCACCTGCTGCAACTGAGTGCATGTGTGGTACCACCATTTTACAAGCGGTGGTGGGGGAGGGGACTCACAGGATCCATAGGGGGCTGGGAGACAAGAGAGGATGGGAGAGTGAGGTTAGGGGGCATGGCTGAGGTAACAACCACGATGTTTACTCTGAGCGTAGTGAACATCGTAATTAAACGAAACTATGTTGCATTTATATATAGGAAGACAAAGATCCCCCGTATAGCCTTATCAGACTGTTGGGGCAAGTGCTGTTAGCGAGCACCTATGAAGGCCGGCACAGCACATGAGGGGGTGGGTGCCAATACCACGTCCGGCCGCCTTTGTCTCCCCCAGTGGCGATATTTACACACCACACCAGGTACTCATTTGAGGCTGATTCGACCTAGGGGAGGCCCAGGACCAGTTCACAAAATCGTCACTGGTGTTGGTTGTGAGCGGGAATCGAATTCGGTAGTGTAACTCGCTAACCGTTGCACTCCTGCTCCCCACTATATATACACACATATTAACGGCAACATGTATGTGTAGTGAGTTCAACTGAGTCGCAGACGTATACTTGGAGGCAACACATTTATTTAACTCCAGAACAAAAGGGATAACTTTCCCTTAACAGAATAACAACCTGTGGTGGTGACCACTAGGCTAACTACACTAATTACAACGTAACTGCTACTACGGACCGGGACCACAGCTCGAGTCCAGGTCCATGTGTTGAAGACTCGGTTGAACGGAGAATGTTGACGAAGGTTTCTTCAAGATGAACAACAACAACGCCGGTCCCTCTGGGGACCCGGCTTATATTTCTCTGCGGCGTGGCTGGCTCCGCCCTTAGCCACGACCACCTTAAAGAATCCTCGGGAAGGATCTGGATGCTAACCACGTGACCCCCTAGCCCCCACTTGGGGCCCTTTTGTAGACTTAACCCGTCACGTGTCCTCTCGGGTCAACCAGAGTGCCACGGCCTTTCGTAACCCCATCCTACGGCCGGCACTCCCACACCCTGTCCTGTAGGGTTGGCACTGCATGCCAAGCGTGGTGCCATCTAGCGCTCACCGAGCCCATCATCATCATAGCTAGCATCATCCTTATCAGCCATGATGAGATAAAGTGATGAGAGAAGGTGATGCATCATCATAATTTAAGGTAAGTTCATTTATAAATGTAATACAATAATTTTAAATATTTATGGATATATGTTGCACTTCTTTCGCACCATGTACGTAGCGAACCATGCTAATCGGAGGTGTTATTATAATTTTGCTATTTATGAGCATCCCTGGAATGTATCCCTTGCGTATAAGGGAATACTGTTCGAGCGGATTCTAGTTTACAGATGTTTACTTTTCTCAACACGAAACATGATGAGATAATGATAACACGTATTTTTTTACTTTAGAAATTGTCACTGTTCTCCTAATTTTCTGTCCGCAAGGGGTTTTAAGTAGCAAGCCTTCAAGTACACCATTCACTGCCCCAAGTCTACCAAGGGGAGTGTAAGTGACAGCCCTTGCCAACTCCCTCCTTTCGCACCACCCACATTGCACCCCTTGTAATTAAACTACGCGTTGTACCATAAAATCCACTTCATTTGAGATTTTTGGTTTCTAGTAAATAAAGAAAAAATATATGAGTATAATATAAAAATTTACTACGTTCTATTTATGCGATCTAACCCAAAACACTATATTATGGATAGTGGTCGCAAAAGCCTACTATGTGTAAAACCAATAACAAAAGCGGATGACACGACGCACTTTTGTTTGATTATTTCAGAGCTCGGCTCACTGTCTCTCGTCTCTCCAAGGGCGGCGGGTAAAGAAGAGCAATGAGATATCCTCCGCCCATTCACCGAGCAGTCATGATGCCACCATGAGCCCGCCGCACATTAACCACGATAAAAGACGGTTCACGGTCTTCCCACACCCCCAGCCTTAAACTCTTGCTTTTGCCCATGATGGAGATGAGGCAGATTGTTTAAAATCCTGTCCAACTGAGACTTCGCGCGGCCACACAGCAGGCAGCTTGGTAGCTGCTGGCGTCTCGTTACGCACGAATGACGTGGGACGGTGGAATCTTGTAAGACCGGTAGTGTTCAGTTGAACAATGTTATCCACGAGACGATGGTTTTTGGGTCAGATCGCATAAATATAAATGTCGTCAAAATGGTAAATGTTGTGGGTTTACTTTCCAACACACCGGTGTTCGTGTTTTGTTTATGTGACAACCCTTACTATTGGCTGTGTCGGGTGGTGGCGGGGTTAACGACACATTTATAGTTACGCGATCTAACCCAAGACCTCTATTATGGACACCAGTGGTCGATTTGCTGCCATTATTTGAGATCACTTGGGGTTTTATGATAAATATAAAACTTCCCAAATATAAACTACATGTCTACTTTGGAGCGTCTTGATTCCTGTGTTATGCCAGAATTGGGAATGGATGCTGGCATCATTTGGATATGGGATTATAGCCTGACTTGATGACCCCCAGTTCTGACTTCTAACGAATGCAAACGACGTGATTTAATTTATACCTACGTGACTTTACCGAAAGACCCAAAGAGTATGAATGCAAAGTGGTATTATAAGTGGACAAAAGAGTTGAAACATGCCATGTCACTGGAGAAACCAATTGTATGATGATGATGCGCTCAGTGTGCTTCAGCTGCTGTGGAAGCAACCTGCAATACCCCCTCCAGCGAACAAAGAAGCGTAGCCGCACCATGAGCTGTAGGGCTATAAAATGGTTGCATTATGCAAAGCCATGATTTGCTTTTTCCATATTATAGCAAATATCTGCTGTATTTTTTACACATGATCTTCTCTTTTCCAAGTTTCCAAAAGAGGATGGAGCTAGATTTCTGGTTCCATTTCCTCATGAAGATCTATATTTATTGATTCGTTGCACATTCATTCCATTAGACCACCACTCCAAAATACAAATGACATTATGAGGAGCAGTGGTAATGACCGTGCTTTTGAAGAGATGTGGTTTTTATGGTTACTAGCTCTGTGGCACAATATTAATTGGTCATTGTAAACATTATATTATCAGGCACTCTGTTTTAGATGGTATATAAGGATACACATTATAAATGCCCAAATTATATAAAGTATTATGCACGATTGCCATATACATGATTCTGAAGTCACTAAGATACCTGTTTAGTGTTTTAATGTTGAAAGCATAAAATGTAGCTTCAATATCCATTCTAGTCACATGCACGAAACACAAAGCAGTTATTGGAAAGTAATGTCATTATTAACTCTTCCATTATTCTTAATTAACACAGGAGCACGAGGAACCATAGCTTGGTTGTGGAGTACAACTCTTCCCCCCTCCAGTAGAGCCGGCTTCTGAGTGGGCATGGAAACGAGGCATTCGTGTTTAATTCGTTGCAGTCAACGGGTGAGGAGCCGATCATGATAACCTCGTCTTTTTTGCAGCATTTAATATCCGTTGAACCTGCCTCCAAGTCGCCATTTTCTTGACCAGCTGAACAGGCTTTATGTCAGAGCTTATCCAATGCATGCATTCACTTAATTATAGCTATCATACACCCCCCCCCCACACACACACTGTCTCTCCCGCTCACATTCCTCCACCGCTGTCATCTGAATAGACATGTTACTTTGGAATACTAGAAAAAAATGCAATAAAATGATACATTTATTAAAAAATAACACAAATTACTTACCCAGAGTAGGATCATATTCCCAGATAAATCTCTTAGTTAGAAACCGCACCACCAACGCTGTAAAGAAAATAAAAATGTCATGAAACCCACTGAGGAGAGGCGAGCATAGGATACTCGCACACGGAAACGCTGCGCAATGAATACCACCGACAAGGTGGAGATGCGAGGACTCGGTGGGGTAAAAGGCCTGTTTGTCCTGGTGCTCGCGTGTCGTCTGTTCAGCTGCAAAAACCCAGCAGCCAGTTGTCTCGGGACGAGGGCCACAGATGTGTTGCCATAGAATGGGCCCATTGAATTTGGTGGGATTATTCATGGGTGAGCCATAATGCAGCCAGTTTGAGCGTGGGTTACGGGATGGGCGTCGAGCTTTGGAACAAGCTTGTAGGGGCTGGAGCATGGGATCGAGCATGGGGTTGAGCGTGGAATCGAACTGGCTATTATTTTCTGTCAATTCCTGGTCCATAACTCTCCAAATATGGGCAAGCACATGCCCAGGGTAACCTTATTTTTACATGACGCACCTACTTTATATTATCCTAATGCATCCCTACGTATTTCATGGACTCATTCTATTGCGTCACAGCGCCAGTCTGCACCACAACCTGATTAGGACTTATGATGTAATTTCTCTTAGCACCTGGACAAAAATTGCCCCTTACCCCGTGTCGACGTCTCACACCATCCTAACTTACACGACATGTGCAATGGAGTCTAAGCACAAAGTATAATTAAAGAATACATGCTGGACTCCTTTACACATGAATTGTTTACTCGCAATTGCAATGGTAATGCATCGAAAAGTGGTGGTGGCCTGAGTTTTTAAACATAATTCGGCTTCTTTGGTTCTTTCGGTAAAGTCACGTAGAACGAGAACCAAAGAAGATGAATCCTTGCAGTCACGAAAGCTTTAAATCGAAATAATTCGGCTTTCGAGGATATAAGATTTATTTGGCGTTTAAGATTAATCTTGACATGATATTTTGAATATCAACGCAAATTCCGATTACACTTGCACCTCTCCTGCTAAGTTTTTTTGTTTGTTTAATATAATAATGCTGCCGCTTATCAAAAATGATTAAATAGCAATGTCAGAGAATAATCTTTAAAACGAACAATAAACAATGCTTTCAATAAATTAAGAAAATTAGAATATGTATGTTAAATGACGCGACATTGGTCACTTGAGCAATGGAAAAAAACAATATTTGGTATAATGGAAAAACACCCCTTGACAGGAATATTGATCCATTCTCTGTGATTGATTGATGGATTGTTGTTGGGCTGGGCTGACATCCGTGGTTGTTGAACTGATGTAAAAAAAATAGGTCTCATATTATGGGTGAAAAGAACTCAGTAATGTTTGCTCCATGACAGAAGTCACCGCATACACGTGGAGCAATGGGAAATTAGCAGGGTACACACGGGATGATGGAACATGACATTGATATTAGCATTCAGTGGCTGTGATCTCGCAGTAAATAGAGAATGGCTGCCGGCGATGATAATTGTATGCCAAGCTGTTAGCTAACAAGAGGCTTGAATCGACACAATTAAAGGCTGTCTCTGTCTGAGCTAACGATCTTACAACATCACACTCCGCAAATTGTTCAGAAACATTAACATTCGTGTCGCATAGGTTTCAGGATAATCATTAAACAAAAAAACGCCAGGGCAATTGCGATGAACGCAGGTTTCGTCCGTACATAATTCGATATACAGTATATAATGTACCAACACGAGTGTGGAGTGCGGAGTGGTGTAGGGCTATTAGCGGCGTGCGTATTGATTCGGCGTGGAGCAGCCTCAGGGGGTGAACAACGGCTCATCACGGAGCAGAAGTTGCTAATCTCTGCCCCGAGGCGAGAGAAGCACTGAGCGGCCACTTGGAAGGTTGCGTGCACTGACATCCTGGCGCGGATTGTCCGGGTAATCTTATTTATCGCGTTACTTGTCGTACTCGCAACGACGCTTACGTGGTTATTTTCCGACGTTATTCTACAATTTTGCATCAAACTAGGAGGACCCATATCAGTTCACAGGCATTGACTCAATCACGCCTGACTCCGGCTGATGAGATGTAGAAACTGGTCCAGAGTTTTGCTTTGAACCAATGGTTGAAACAAGCCTGACTGCCGATGAGACATTGAATGTCAAAACCAATTCAGAGTTTTTGCTGATGTTGAACCAATGGTTCAAACAAGCCTGTCTCTGCTGAAGAGGCACTGAATGTCGAAACCAGTTCAGAGTTTTGCTGATGTTAAACAAATGGTTCAAACAAGGCTGCCCCTGCTGATGAGACACTGATTGTCAAAACCGGTTACCAGCGTTTGCTTGCGTTAAACCAGCTGCTAACCAGCTACTCCCAGAAGGCGGCGTGGCTGACGGGATGTGTACAAAAAAATGCATGTATTATTTTACGTGACGATGTCAATTATGGAAAGGAAGATATCTCGTCCGTTGACTTGTGTTCTTCTCCTGGCTGCGAGTCGCAATCGCACGGACCACAGCGTGACCGGCGGACTCGGTTGGCGTGGAAACTGTTAGGCAAGTGAAATAAAATTCCCATCCACTTTGATTCGCCCTCACCCCTACCCCCTAAAGCGTTGCCGCTCTATTCAAGACTACACAGGTGTTGAGTTGTTGCCTTAGCGCGCTCATTCCTCTAGCACGCGTGCACCGCTGCGGTTGCTCCTAGACGCCGACGCACGGACACGCTCAGCCTCGGCGTTGCTTTTAGCGTCGTGCTCAAAGACTCAACCGTGAAGCGACAACCCCTCCTCCTCCTCTGTGTAACGCGAAGGTCTGACGCGTGTGCGTGGCACTACGATGTTGATGATGGTGATGACGATCTCTGTGCGGTTTGTGTCTCGCCTCCGCGCGCCGTGTGAACCCCGCATCGCTGTGCGGAGAGCTAAACAACACGAACCGGGCGCCCTCCTCTCTGTTTTATGCACAAAGCCCCGCACCGCTGGGAGTAGTTATCAGCAGCAGCAGCAGCAGTGAGAGAATGTACGCGCGACATCATCATCAGCAGCATTATCACCATCATTACCAGCACCATCAGCATCATCATCATCACCAGCATCATCAGCAGCATCATCATCATCAGGAATGACACTGACAATTCACGTACCGGACTTTCCGACGCCAGCTCTCCCCATCACAGCCAGCTTCACGTCACAATTCTTAGCCATGCTCGCCGTCAGACAGAAGGCTCTCCCCCCCCTCCCTCTCTCTCGCTGCGTCCACTGTCTACTCGGTAGCAGTAAACTCTTGATTACGTCTACCAGCAGGCGGACGCATGCTGTTACTGCCGCTGCTGATGCCGGTGCCGGACGAGACGAGAGTTCAGCTCTCTCCCCCTCCCTCTGTCTCTCTCGCTCCGTCGCTCTCCCGTCTCTTCGGGAGCTCTCGCATCAGGCGGCGGCGTGGCCCCTGCACGCGGCCGCGTGGGCCGCCGCGGGCCGCCCACGCAGCCGCGGTTCGCTGCTGCTGCTGGAATTCGCAGCGGTGGTGGTGCCGGGGAGCGGTGGCGCAGTGGTTAGCGCTCCGCTGTGCCAATTAAAGACCCGGCCACCCGGGGTTCGATTCCCGCTCACGGTCAACACCGGTGACGATTATCCGAAGCGGTCCTGGGCCTCACTTTAGGTCGACTCAGCCTCGAATGAGTATCTTGTGTGCGGTGGGTAAACATCACCACTGGGGAGACAAAGGCGGCCCGGCGTGGTGCTGGCCAACCACCCCGTCGTGTGCCTTCAATAGGTACTCGCTAACAGTACTTGCCCCGACAGTCTGTTGAGGCTACACGGGGGATCTTTGTCTTTGGTTGGTGGCGGTCGCTCCACGCTTCCCCCCAGCAGATCGCTGGCTGCGGAACGAACTGCGCTACAAATCGGAGGAACCGGCCTTGCGAACAAAGTACATTCAAACGTCTATAGGTGTCACTTTCTTTGCAGAGAGAATGACTTTGTGATTAAACGATGATGAGGGGGGGACCTTTTCACCAATGTCTCACGTCCTAAGTTGCTTAGACGTTGTGAATGTATTTGATTTGGGGTTTACGGGACTGCGCATTTGCAATTCTTATAACAATTGACTTATTTCTCCAGGAATGCCAAACTGAGTCGTTGGGCACTTTTTTTTAGCAGAATCCTGCATTGTCTTTTTTTATTTTAAGATGTTTTCAGCCAATGAACGAGTGGTTATTTTGCAACAAAATGCACGCCCGCGACAGGGAAACACTCTATCCCCCGTACAGATGTTGGACCGCACAAATGTTGCATGACTCCTTTCCCGTGAGCGTCGAGGTGCTCCACAGGAAAATTTGATAGAGCAAATGTGCACTAATCTCCATCTATCCCTTCTGGTCGGGATACAGTGTTTCCCCCTCACACGTGTGGGTTTTCTCTGGATGCTTCGGTTTACTCCCACATGCATTGACACTCAGTAATTGGTCGATAACATCTGAACGTATAGAGGACCGCAGAGCTTGGGCAATGTGTTGTCTCTGGCTCGCTGCTGCTACCTTCCATGGTTCCTCTCTGCAAGAGTGGGCGAATACTGTTCGGCGCATTCAAAGTTGAAATTGTTTCATGAGCGTTTTTTTTGTATTCATTGGAAACGCATTCGGTCGTACACGTTCCTGCCACCAAAGTTTTTAATTTTTTAAAAATAAATTTAGACATTACAAAAACCCTCGACTGTATAGAGAATACACCGTCACGTTAATGTTACACAAAAACAAATCAGCAACTTTCACAGAGGTATGCACTCAGATTATAGTAGGCCGAATGTAAAATGTTATCTGAATTTGGGTTGGGTAATACTATGGACATATTATTAGCAGATGTGGATACCTGATGATGTACAAATGGGAAACTTTCCAGTAGTGTGCGACTGTGGCCATTTAGAACAGAACCGTACAGCATATAAGGATACAATGCTCCATCCACAAATACGAAGGAGACATCACAGCGATGGTACACTCCACTGGTGCTCCTTACGCGGTTATCTAGGCTTGACCGCCTGAATGAGAAATTGTACTTGTTGCTTTGCATCTAAATCAGCCGTACGAAAGAATATTATCGAACTCTGATTGATCATGACATTGTCACGATGAAACAAAATGTAAATTAATTACTCATTAGCAGCACGCCATGTGTTTTGGACTTGAACGCCCGTCCCTCTCTCCAGTCAGCCAGCAAAACTTTTGTCTAACATAGTACACATGAGATTATAATACCGTAGCGTCCATCAAAGAGGTTTTTTTGGGGTTAGATCGCGTAAATATATAAATGTTGTGTCGTAAAAACCCGCCACCACTCGACACAACCAACTAGTAAGGGTTGTCACGTCAACAGAACGTGGCCATTTCGTCACTAGTACAGCACACCGGTGTGTTGGAGAGCCAAGCCACAACATTTACAATCTGAGTACGACGTTTCGTCACAAGTGACGACATCACATTTATCCCTCTTTTTTATGACCAAGGCAGGAGGATTTCTCCACAACTTTGGCTATCTGCCTGATGATGCTGCTTGTAATTACTGGCGAAACGTCGTACTCCAATGGTAAATGTTGTGAGTTTACTCTCCGACACACACCGGTGTGCTGAACTAGTAACGGATCGGCATGTTTTGTTTACGTGACAAACCTTACCGATCTAACCCCCCAAAAAACCCCTCTATTATGGATATTGGTCGCAAAAGCTCTACGGTGGCGAGATGCTATCTGCCTCGCCTAGTAAACAGGAGGTCATGGGTTCTATTCTGACCCTGACGCCTGTATATTTGGAGTTTGTACGTTCTCCCCGCGGTCGTGTGGATTTTTCTCCTGTTCCTCCGGTTCCAAACAACTGCTACTTGCGTGTTAAACGGAATGGAGGGTGATTGGGGGGAGGCGTGACGTCAGCCCGCACGAACAAGGCTCAACGTTGTGGAATGCTGGTGACGTCATCACGCAGATGCGTGATCACGGCTACGTTGCCCGTCGACGCCGCCAGGAAGCCCGCCAGACAGCCAGGAATCCATCCAGAAAAGTTGTTTCTAATACTCTGTTCGTGCAGCATGTTGAATAACGCCAGCAAATAGAAAATTGGCCTCGGCTCAACATAAACGGCAGCAAAAATACGCACACTGCAGGAAAGTATGCTAAACAATGTAGAACTGCAGGAGATACGCGGCTGGAAAACGCAGCAGAATGCGTTTGCCAAGAGCAATTACTGTCCCACTGAAGGCGCATTTGGATCAAATTGATGAGGTGCAAATGCGACCGCTAAGACAAACTGCACTTGATAGAGAAATGCAGCATGCCAGTGGTGCTGAAGAAGAGCGCTTTCAATCGCTGCATTATTTGAGCTATGAACTATACATCGGAAACGTTGAAAGTGTGCAAAGAAAAAATGTGTAGTAGGCTTTCGCGACCAATATCATCCATAATGCAGATTTTTTTTTGGGTTAGATCGCGTAAATATACAAATGTGTCATTAAACCCGCCACCACCCGACACAGCAAATTGGTAAGGTTTGTCATGTAAACAGAACATGCCAATTCGTTACACGTACAGCACACCGGTGTGTCGGAGATCAATCCACAACATTTACAATCTGAGTACGACGTTTCGCCAGTAATTACAACTAGCTTCATCAGGCGACAGCCAGATTTGTGGAGAAATCCTGTCTCGTTCCTTAAATAGAGGGGTAGATGTGATGGAATCACTTGTGAGCATTTCTTGAAGAAATATGTTTGTAATTGCAGCGAGACTCAGTTCACAGGAATCAGGGAACGAACACCAATCAGACATCACATTGACTGCTACGAAAAGTGGGTCTGGTACAGAATTATGGTGATGGGCAAGACTGTTAATTAACAGCAGCCTAATGAGGGCTGGCTCTCGAGAGGATGACCAGTGGAGATACAGCGAGGGGAAACAGTTTAAGAGCAGGAGATGGATTGTGGCATCGCGTGATCATGCGTAGGGCTGGATTAAGGTTATGAGGGGCATCGGGCTAATAGGAAGGCAAGGGAATTAGTATGGACAGTTATACATATCGGAAAAAAATAATTGTCATAAAACAATGATTTACCTAATGTAAAATTAACACATTTATTCGACTCAAAATCATCAAACGCAGATCACTCGCGATAATCATTTCTTCAAACAATTCTTTTGGTTTCCTCTCACCCTCAGCTGTGGGGCAAAGTCATGAATGTTGTCGTCGTCATTCCAAGACAAAACGATGTCCGATGGGCGCGCTACCGCCGCTCAACTGTTACGTCAACATGGAATGGAGGGCCCAGAGGAGGGCCTACAACAGCGTTGTTCACTCAATTTCAGAGGGGTGGGGGGCACTTTAGCCGATAAGACATCATCAGTGTGAGGGCTGCCACACATTTGAAACCATTGGGGGTTTGACAGCAGCAGGAGGGGGGGGGGTCACTTTGTGTATTTTCAGGGGCCGCACTACAAGGCCACTTGTGGCCGCCAGTGGCCCGCGGGCCTTGCGACGAAGAGCCACTGGCCCACACGATATTGATGGCCTTTATTAGCCTGTGGGTTAATCCGACCCAGATCATGGCGATGGTGCTGACGGCATTAGATAATGTTTCATTAAATAACTTAGCTGCACCATCCACTGTGGTCTAACAATTGATCGCCCGGGTCGTTCCGTTTCACGCAAGCAAGCATTGACATCACCCAATGCCGTGGTTCATCGCGTTCTGGGCAGGTGCGCGCACAGGGCTGTGTTGTGCCATTCTCTTTGGTTCTTTCGGTAAAATCACGTAGGTATGAAATAAAAAAAAAATCATGTGATTTTTAATTTTATGCGTACGCGACTTTACCGAAAGAACCACAGAGTGTGGATTCCTGCAGTCACGAAAGCTTCAAATCCAGATTGCCGTGCCATTGCTTCGTAATGGGCCATTTAGCACACCCCTTATTGTAAAACAATGCCCCGTACAATCGCCTGTTGCGGCGTGCCGTGCCGCGTGCTGCATGCGTGCTATGGCACGCGAGTTCGTCTGTCACGGAGAGAGAGAGAGCGCGAACGGAACTGCCTCTCGTGCCAAGAAGCAAGCCATTCCCTTGTGCCGTCTCTCCTCGGCACCTTTGTGATCGCATCCTCGGGATCCGTTGTCCGTCAGTGATCCCTCCCTCCCTCGTTCCCTCCCCTCTCCTCCCGCCTCTTGCAGCTTGCAGCGTCACTCTCACGTCCCCCTTCTTATGCTGCACAGGAGGATGCGTCTCAGGGCCGAGCCGGTTGGTTACAATGTCCTGACGTTCCCGTCCACCGCCCTTTGCTCCCCCGCTTCTGTTGCTGCTGCCCACAACGCAGCCTACGCCCCAACCTGGGCAACCCATCGCGATGCAGCACGCGTGATGTCATCGGCCTCGACCATAACAACCGCGGGCAGGATTGAAACTGCACTTAATACTCAATCAATCATGAAGTGACAGTGTGCATGATTTACCTGCAGCGCAAACGGCCATCGATACTTTGTATCGTAAAATGTCTGCAATGCGCTACAGGGATAATTGATTCACCACACACACAAATAGCATTGCAAACGCGAAGCCCCGTGGTGAGTTCCCCCCCCCCCCCCACCGTGCTCCACATAACGTGCACAGAGAGATAGTGTGGTGCGGTGAGCAGTGGGCACGTAAAGCGATGTAATAATGTGTGTGTGTGTGCAATAGAGCATCTCATCTGATGTGCGCAACGTCGTTCTGATTGAACGCGCGCAGCTTGAGCTGCTCATCCTTGAGGCTGACGTCAGCCCGCTCGGGGCAGAGCGCAGCGCGCCTGCTGCATCACCGTGCCGAGTGGGAGCAGCGGCACCATCGCCGCTGCGTGCTTGGAGGTGGGGGGGGCGGCGTCATTAGGGAAAGGCCGGCAGGGCCATTCAAGCCTTCCGATAGATGACACATCATCTCATCGTGCAGCGCGCTTGATTGAGCAGCAGGCGGAGGAACGCGTGGGCTGGGTGCGCGCCACGGGCCAAACGCAACGGTTAGGGACAGGCGCGGCGGGTCGGGTGATATAGGTGGTTCCGTGAGAGGGAGGAATCCTGCAGCTGCTACTGCTGCTGCCTGGCTCCCACGCCCAGCCCCGGCCGGCTTCCTGCGCGCCCCCCACCCCCGCCCAAGCCACGAGGAGCAGCAGCGAGCTGGGCTCAGGAGACAGAGAGGGAGATGCCGCTCCTCACCTCGGCGCCTTGCGTCGTCCTCTGCGCGCTTCTCAGCATCACGGTATGCGATTTACTTCCGTGTGAATTAACCGGAGATTTGTTTGGGAATTGCTCGATGACTTGCATTTTTTTTAAATACAATTTTCATTCCGAAGAGCGATTCATATGCGGCACAGGACCACTCATAATATAACACGAAATCATAATTTAGCATCGCTGTTGAGAATGCAATTAACAAAGTAAATAATCGGGAAATAACGCATCTTTACCGTATCCGTTTCCTCCACTTCAAAAAAATATAAAAGCATTGTTCTACACATCCATCAGCCACACGGTATTCTGGGAAGCGCGTACATTGTCCCCGGAATGCAAATCTACGATTCAGTGGGGCCATCTCACAATCGCGTGCAAGGAGGTGGAGGTTGTAAGCGATGGCCCGCTGCTGCTGCTGCTGCGGTGGTGGTGGTGGCATTCACGCACCGTGCAGCACTCCCAGGTCGATTGATGGCCCATCCAGAAACCTCCCTCCCTGGCTGTGGTGGTGGCCCTGGGTGCGGGAGTGCGGTGGTGGTGGCGGCATTCCCGCACCGTGCAGCCCTATCAGGTGGTGGCCCTTCGAGACACCTCACTCCAATGGCTGTGGTGGCGGACATCGAAAATGTGTCGTACGAGACATTTAATCCAATCGCGATGTCTCTGCAGAGATCATGAGCATCTCGCCTTCGCACACGCACTCAGCGGTGTCCAGCCAAAGGATTTGACGACTCGCGAATGAGCAGGCCTGCCGCGACTTATCTCTGCACGTGGTGATTAGATACGGGATGCGAATGATGCCATGCTCCGAATTGAATTTGCATATACTGCGGTGGTGTTATGTATTATGTTGAACTTCTTTCGCACCGTACGTAGCCAACCGTGCTTATCGGAGGTGTGGGGGAATGATAACAAACTAAACACAAAAAGGCAGTTAAGAAATTTATTTTAAAATCTATATTTTAGTACTGTGTGGCACGTTAACAACAACAAAATGCCGTGTTATTTACATGCAGTTGTCAGCTTTAAGTAAATGCTCATGCAGTTAAAGAGCGTTGTCATACTAGCGGCGCTTTTGAAATAAATGCACCCTCGAATAAATTCGCCAGTTTCTGTGTGAAATGCCGTTCATATACACCAAGTGCATTACTCCGCTTGTGCGAGTCACATTCTCCCTGACCCAGCCGGGGCTCGCACCTGTAGTAATAATACGAGCATGTGGGATGCATGACAATCCCAGTGATATCTATTGTATGTGTGGGAGGGGAGTGTTTTTCGTTTTCACCACTGCCTGCCAACTCGCTCGTCCTCCCACCCGGGTTCACGAATGAAATCAGACCCAGCCTCGTGTATCAGATGTTCCGGGGCAGGAAAGACACTGAGGCCCCCATTCAACCTCTGTTGCATTAGCTTGCTCGTGTAAACTTGCATACTCACAATCCCTTGCACTCACGTGACCTCCGTGTCATTGATCAAACTGAGTTTTTTTTGCGCGGCAGGGTGGCGCCTTCCTTGTGCGTCACAACAAAAAGACCTTGGGTTCGATTCCCGACTCTGACGCGTTTGTGTGTGGAGTTTGAATGTTCTCCACCTGTTCTGCATTGATTTCCCTAGCTTAAAACACCATGCAAAGTAACCGGTATCGGCCAAATATCTCAATGCTCAAAATTACTCAATTGGGATTACACATCTGGCAAAAACTTGGCATGACTCTCCCTGATAAAGAGTATTGAGGTTTGGTGAGCCTCAAGCATAGTAATACAATTTCTTGAAGAACATTACAATGTATCTAAACACTCGACAATTTCCAGATCACTTGTATTGAATACAGCACTATAGCAGTCCCATACATTGAAGGGTTATGTTAACATTCTATGATTGTTACCTTCAATCCAGATAGGATTATGAATATTGCAATGTGCTTATCAAATGAAAAAATATAATTCTATTCACGGAGATGTTACATCCAATACCCCCACGATATTCATCCCCACAAGGACAGTTGAGCAGTGCTACTCGGTCTGGTTATTTTAAAGTTAATGCTAACCGTTTTATAATCGATATACAGTACTTATTAATACCACTTCGCAAATCCGAGTGCATGTAATGGCCATGCTGTGCATGCCACCACGTCTAACGTCACTTCCTCCCGCCAATACCCTGAACCTTTGCACAGTTAACATCTGACCGCCAGACTGCTCACCATCTAGCCTCAGGTGTCCCCCTTGGCTGTGATCCCCTGGCTGCCCTTCCCACTGCCCTTGTCCTGGTTGCCTCCCTCGGCATCCTGCACTAGTCCCTTCCTGATTTAGCTTGCGACACTTCTCTGCTTAGGTTTGCTCAATGCTTCCATATTGGATGTGAATTGTGAGCACCGTCAACGGATGCATATATTCAAAGGATTGACGTTTATTCTCGAGTTGTTTTGCTATGACCTAGATATCTTCTTCTTCCGTATGGCTGATGTAGATGCAGAGCAGCAAATACAATTTCACATTCAGGTGGTCAAGCCAGATAACCGCATCAGGAGCAGTGGAGTGTATCACTGTGATGTCTCCTTCCTATTTGTGGATAGGGCATTGTGTGGTTATACGTTATACGGTCTGCTCTGGATGACCACAGTGGCACACTGGAGAGTTTTGAATTGTCCATTTGTGCATCAGGTGTCTGCATCTACTGCCATGATTTGTGCAGTGGATGCTCTTTATGGTGGAGCATGAGCTTCGTGGAAGATCAACCCCAGGGAGCTTCTGCGTTGGGTCTTTCAGATCTCTAACCCATACAGAATAGACAAGATGGTAGGTGGCTTATAGCACTGGTGTAATAGGTGCCCTTAACACCGGTGTCTTAACACACTGCCAAGAAAAGTACCAATACCTCATACTCGAGGTGTTGTAAAGGGGCTCCCCCTGGTTTTTATACCTGGTTGAGGTTGCCGGCCAGCGCTTGATCCAGTATTGTTTTGCTCTTGCTGCAGTCGGTGTCTCTTCCCATGGTAGCCATACCCGTTGTGAGGGTATCCCAGTGAAGCGATTTCCCACAGCCCGGCCACCTGACAGTATCAAGGACCATACCCAGTGGGAGGTGACCTTAGCAGCAGGTGTATGATCTGGAGTCATCTGTTGTGCTGGTTCATTCCTGGAAGGAGCCCCCAAGCAGATGACTGCTGGGGGCAACGGTGAGGCCAAATTTGGGAACAGTGGCATTTGGCTATGATGGGTTTATGCATAAACTTATTTCACATCTTACGTAGCCAACCATTCTAATCGGAAGTGTAAGTGCCCTGACTGTACTGCAACAGTTGACTCTGGTTAATAACACTTATCTTCTCTCATGTTAAGCTATGTCTCAGACGTCTGTTAATTGCTCTCATGTGGCTGACAGGAAGGCTCCCACTTCCAATAATCATAATTTTTGTTTTCAATTTACTTCTGCAGCATCCTGGGTATCGGCAGTAACATCATGTCGATTCATCGGCACATTGAAACTACCAAATCCCATCTTCTGTTCCGAAGAGAAACTCACCTAATGTTATCAGCCTACAGCGTTTTCAAAGGTGGAGTTTGTGTCATCATAGATATTGGTCTTGATTTGAAGCTTTCGTGACTGCAGGAATCCATACTCTCTTGTTATTTCGGTAAAGTCACGTAGATAGAAAAAATAACAAATTAAAACACGACGTTTCGGTCGCAACACAAGCTTCTGTCTTCATTCAGATTGAGCAATCATTGGAAGGACGTGATAAACCACGTTAAGTTTGAACTGCTATGATTTTCACTCAGCCACCCGTGTCGTTTTGGTTTCCGGCTACTAATTAAAGCTCATTGACATGCTAATTTCTAAAGCCATAACAGCAGATAATTTTCTCACCTGAAGATGGACGCTTGTGTTGCGACTGCAACGTCGTGTTTTCTTTAGTTATTTTTTCTATCTCCGTGATTTTGCCGAAATAACCAGAGAGAATCATAGATATCGTCTATTTCACATCTGATTAGCACGGTTGGCTACATACAAAAAAGTTAAACATGCATACATATATACGTTTCACACCACCCTTACCCTGAGGCCTCTGACCCTATATATTCTTGGTTCTTTCGGGTAAAGTCACGTTGAAGGGAAACAATAAAATAATATATATTTTATATATATGTTTTATATATATATTTTATTATTTTATTGTTTCCCTTCAACGTGACTTTACCGAAAGAACCAAGAATATAAATCACTGCAGTCACGAAAGCTTTAAATCACCTCTGACACTGTTTTGATCTTCTCTGGGTCTGTGATTCTCTCCCTCCACTAAATTAAGTGGTTGTGCTTAACCGCTCACCACATGCAGATAATAATTCAAAACTCTTCTCTAATCTGACTAGTACTGCATTGAACTTGTATATAAGGTGCTTAGATCATTGTCATTGGTGACTTGTACACAGCAATGTATAACTGCAAGAGAGCCACGCTACAAATGAAACTGACGGTGAAGCTGAATGTATGTCAATTGAGAACAACCTTGACCGATTGGTTGACTGTTCTACTCGCAGATCAGACTCTGTCGCAGATTCCCATAGGTACTTTAGCTGTGTACGTAACTTCTGACCTAACTTGGCACACAGTTGATGTGACTGCACCAAATGACACATCTGACCACTGTAATCGCGACAAAGCACCTCTAACATCCTTAAATATCAAATTAGCAAGGCTAAAAGCATTATCTGGCGAAAAAAACAATCTTGCTTCCGATGGCATAAACTCTGTTTTGAAATAAATTATACATTAATATGTGCCTTGGCTGTTAATACTATTATGCTGCTGTGTGTGTAAACATGTATCCTTGATTTATGCACTTTTTGGAAATTAACGCTGCACTTTGGTCAATCCTTAGCTCCCAAGCAGCAGTCTCTTCTGAAGGGAGGGCGTATAAGAAAGAGATGGAGTCACTGTTGGTCTCACTCATCTCTACAAACCTACAATGAAAAATTGCCAGTGTGTCATCAAGCAGGAAAAGTTTGATTTTGTGAATTGCAAATA